TTAATAAAATCTTTTCGAAACAACGGGTGGAGCTAAAAGTTATCCCCAGATGTTATCGTGCTCCCCATACGTTGTCCAGTTGTTTGTGGATATATCAACATTTTCTGTTTTTGTATGAATATTTCAACTATTTGGATGGTTTTTACAATGTCATCTGCCAATAAATCGTGTTTCAAACCGTTAATTTTATGTTCGGTGTTGGCTACACTTCCACTTCTTAGGTGGAAAGTAAGTACAGTTATTCAGGATAAATGATGCTCATAGATCACATTGAGTTAGTTGAGGCTTCAACTTACGTCCAAAAAAAGGAATTAGGATTGCGGTTTTTGCTTCAGAATATATATTCACAGAAGACATAAAATACCTATTTTCAGACAGTATCCTATAACATCTGGAAATAACTTTTAGTCTCTCCCGAAACAACACTTTAGACACAATTATTTCCGTTTAACTGTAATACTCAGCGACTAAGAATTGGAAGGGTGCCGGTTACTTCCTGGCATAAAAAACACCTTAACTAATATTCGTTTCAACGAGAGGGAGCAAGGTGATAAACTGTGATTAAAATGGAAATCAATATTTGAAGTCATTAAGGATTGAGGTAGAAAATTTTGAGCTTCTAATGTTTTTGAAAACTTTACATGTGTGATGAATATTTATTGAGAAAGTCATCAAGATAGAAAGAGGGACAAATATATGACTGTTTGAAACCATAACTTGTAAATTTATGGTATCCTAGTGGTAACAAAATCACTCACCGGCAGGCAAACAAATCCAGCTGACCAGTCTTAAACAGAACAAAATATACGTTGCGGATTTCATTGTTAACCACTATTATATTATTATTATTATTAGTCCCTTGGGTTCCTAATGGAACATACGGCTTCACTAGCACGTCTCCATTCCACTCTCTTCTCTGAAATCTTTTCAACCTGGCTCCACGACAGCCCACAACCTCTCATTTCCTCCTCGCACCATCTCCTTCATGTCACCCTCACCTCAGACGCCCAACTCGTCGCTTCCCATCGGGGTTCCACTCGAGCAACTGGCCTGATGCGTGATGTCCCCAGTCGGCTTTCTCAGTGTATGCCCAATCTATCTCCACTTCCTTCCACTGCATATTTGTTCAGCGATAGCTTCTTGGTTGTTTCGTTCCCAGCCACAGTTCCTTGTTGCTTATTCTTCTTATTCTGGCCATCTGATCTTCAGTAACGAGCCAGCGTAGGTGGCAGTTGTTGATGAATGTCTGTAGTTTATTGGAAATCCCTTTCGTAACGCGCCAAGCCTCTCAACCATACAGAAACACTGATTTGACATTGGTGTTGAAAATCCGGATGTTGTTCGACATGCTGAGAGGAGTGCAGAAGATCTCCACACTGGTTTCAGGCCAAATGAACGCCTGTCTTGCTTTTCCGATCCTGGCTGGCTTTGACGTCCTCGTCTGTACCTGTGCCGCCAGTAGTTGAAAGAGTGCTTCCTAGATAGGTGAAGGAGGTTACTTCCTTTAAGTTTCTCCTGTTGATGGTGACTGGAGTTTGTTGTTGTTGTTGTTGTTGGAGTTGTTGGTGCGGTATCGTCATCACTTCTGTCTTCTCTATATTCACCTGAAGTCCCGTCTTCCCTGCCCTGCTTCTTCTGCCAACTTGTTAGTTTTCGCCTGTAGATCTTCGAGTTTGTGCGACATCAGACACAAGTCATCGCTGGCGAAATCTAAATCTTCTAGGTTGTTTTCCGCAGTCCAGCGTATCCCCCTCTTCTCACAGCTCCCCACAGTTTGCTGCATGACCCGGTCCACCACAATCAGGAATATCATGGGTGATAGTAGGTGGCAGCCTTGTTTCACTCCTGTCTTCACTTCCAGTGCAAAAGCATCACTGAGCTTCCCATTGTGAATTACTTGGCTGGCATGTGCCGTCTTCATGTAGTTGTTGAATGAGGCTGATAAAGGTTTGCGGTACTCCGTAGTAATGAAGCAGTTTCCAAATTACCTCTCGGTCGACGTTGTCAAAGGCCTTTTCAAAGTCGATAAAGTTGAGGGTGCGTTGAGTTGACTGCCATTCTATGCTGTGTTCTATGATGATGCGTAGTGTAGTGTTGCAATTTGGTCGGCACATGATTTGTACTTCTTGAATTCAGCCTGCCTGTTCTGGTCATAGTTTTGGATCTAGCACATCTTTTAGCCTCTCCAGGATGGTATGGCTTAATGTTTTGCTTGCACTAGGTGGACAGGAGTGGAGAGTGATTCCTCGCCAGTTGCTGCAAACACTGAGGTCTCCCTTCTTCCGGACTGTTTGACAAGGTAACCCTTCTTCCAATCAACAGGCAGGTACCTTCTCTTCCTTCCACACCTTCTGCAATAGTGGTGTGGTGTGAGCATGTCCGCTTTTGTCTCTGCATCTGTTCTCAATGCTTCTGGTGGGATTCCATCTGGTCCTGCTGCTTTCCCACATTTCAGTAGCTTTATGGCGTTCACGAATTCCACTTTTGTTGGAGGATTTATGTTCACTTGTAGTTCAGTGGCTGTGTGTGGTATTTCTGAACGAAGTGCAGGTGGTGGTGGTGGTCGATTCAAGAGCTTCTTGAAGTGGTCGGCCCATTGTTTCCATTGTTTCTCTTCTTTCCTAATTAAATTTCCTTCATCATCTTTTATTGGTTTCATCTGTGTTGATCTCTCCACAGACAGCAAGTAACCTGGTTATTTGATACAATGTTGTCAGGTCTCTGTCTCTCCTACCTGCAGCCTGTTCTGCTTCACTTGCCAGTGTGTCGTAGTGTTGTGTGTCTTTTGTCTTTCCACGCATTCTTCTTCACTTCTTTGTCCAGTATAGTGTTTTATACATTGTATTCAGTTCCTCTTCTCGTCGTTGAGCATCCTTGCACTGCACTGGTTTATCTTCTGCTTCACCATCATCCTCTCCCTGCTTGCTCTATCAGCTTCCATGTATCCATTGAGATCCATTCCACTCATTATCTTCTTTCTTCTTCCTTCCTAATACGGTTGTGCAGGTTTCTTTACACATCCCTTTCAAAGACTTCCAGTGTTCTTCCACACAGGTTTCTTCAGGCATGTTCCTCGATATCTCCCATTTTGTCTTGATGTCTGGCTACCGTGAAGATTTCCTTTGTAGTCTCATCCTTCAGTTTCCGAGTGTTGTACTTGAAGTGTGGTCGATCACCAGCTCCCTTGAATTGAAGGCTTTCAACTTGATTTTGGAGGTAGGTTCCTTGCACTAGACAGTGAGTGGTGTGAACCTACATCTGCTCCTCTTCTTCACCTTGTGTCAAGTAGACTGTGTCTCCATTTTCTTGAGATTGAGATGAAGTCGATTTATTTTCAGTGTGTCCATCTGGTGAAATCCATGTCGCTTTGTGGATATCCTTATGCCTGAACACACTGCCTCACTGCAATCATTAAATCGTTGAATGCACAGAATTCTGCAAACAATTCTCCATTCTCATTCATCTCACCTAGCGCCTCTCGACCCATGGTTAGTTCTCTTCCTGTGTTGTCCCCTCCCAGTTTGGCATTCATGTCGCCCATTAGAATGAGTTTTGATATCGCCATCTTGAGTGGTGTCTTGTCCAGTGTTGATTGCAGTTGTCTGTATAATTCCTCCTTTTTCTCTTTCTCCGCATTATTTGTAGTGTAGGTGGGTAGCATTGTATGATTGTGACCTTCCTTCCTTTTGAGTTGAATGTTGCTGTCATGATCCTGCATGAGGAGATCGGTTTCCAATTCATTAGGGCCTTTGATGCTGTTTGGGACATCATGATAGCCACTCGAAAACTCAGTGTGCTCATGGTTGTCATCTGGGTGACAATATCGGAGTAGATTATTGACTCTGGAGTTGACAGTTTGGAGAGTCCACTCCCATTCCATCTGCTTCCGCAAATTCCATCACTTCAATGTGATACCTCTTCATCTCGTTTGCAATATGGGCTGCCTTGCTGGGTTCAAACATTGTGCGAACATTCCATGTGTCGCCATGTTTACTTTTGCTTTCATCGAGAGGAAGGAAGATACATCGGCCAATTGGCTTCCCGAAGGCAGGCTTTCACCAACTGGCGTCATTTCGCCTCTCCGATTCCAGCGGAGAATAAGTTTGTTTTCATTTTTTATATTTTGTTTGTGCTTTGAAGTTTCTTTAGCGGTTAGATTTGTTTTTCGTGGTAGGGTTGCTATCCCTATGCCCAACCTTCCCTCTTTGCCCGGGCTTAGGACCGGCTAGTAACTAGTGAACTATTTAACCAGGCGAGGTTGTGTTAACCACTTTACATTCTTAATATTTGACTGTGCAACTCGGGATAACATTGTTGAAAAGAAACATTCCTTCACTCACTCTAATGGACGACGAAATATTACAAAGTATAACAACAAAACTGTGCCCATTGAACAATGAATACCTATCATGACTAAGGAACCTGATATCTGAAATGATGGACTCCAAGGTTGAGTCTCAGTTGGAACAATGTCACCAGCTGGGATACAGCTTCATCTCAAACAAACACGTGTCATGGGTCTTACTGCTAGCCATTAGTCATCATTACTACCTAACTGAAATTACCGGCAATATCAAGGCATCAGTATAGGAGCCTATATGCCAGTAGCAGTATATCATTTCGGTCTAATCGGTGACAGGGAATTTAAAATTATAACAAAATCTTTCTCTTATGTTCGTAAATAAATGTGTTTATATTTTATCAGTTCAGTATATAAAAACAAAAGAATTGGCAAGAGAAATTAGGAAAATACATGAACTCTGTGTGAATTGAAAATTGAATCATCTCAAACAGCATACTGCCTATTTGTTTGTTTCGTTGTTTAGTTCATCTGTGGCGATGGCGGCGGGGAAATTAATTTACAAATTCGATTTGATGAAAACGGATTAGGCTAAAAAAGACAACTGTTTTTTTATCATAAAGTTATAAAATTCGGTTAGTTACTCGTATGTTACGTCATAGACAAAAATCATTGTTCATAGTTTCTTCACGGAGCTTGTTTACAAATTTGATGAGCATGGTGAAGATTTTTCAGTGAATATTGAGGATGGTGAGTCACCCTGTATTGGATCAGTTGAATGGTATAGAAAACCTGTTGAAGTGAGTTCACTGGATTCTGTGGATCACAATTCAAATACGACAATGCATTATTACATAATCTGGGTTGTTTATTATTTATCGACAAACGGAATAAAACAATTGTGGGAATAACCCTCTAATGGAGGTAATCTACAGGTTTCGGGTTGTTGGCACTCGACAGATCAAGACACATCTATAACCTCGACGGAGCTGATCTCCCACTTGAGCTCCGAACTCACATCATCCATTGTTGCATTCGGAGAAGTTACTAATGAGATATTTGAGCGACTGTTGACCTCCTGTACGCCTGAATGTGTGACCACTTTCATATTTTCTAGTCCCAAGTGCTGACTAAATGTTGGGAGACTCCATCCAACTGACATCCATCAAAGTGCACTGCGACGGTGAGTCACCTAGCTTCTTGGTGTCTGGTCACATGCTGAAATATTCTGTCGAATTCTATCAGGACTCAGGACTAGACAACATGAAATCGGCTGCTCTCCAGGAGCCAATAAATGTCAATATACGTCCAGTTTGACGTGGCTTATCGTACTATGTAAAGTCTTACATTCTGAATTATCCGTCGATCAGAAAATTCACACTACTGAATCACATGAGAGTTTTCCTTGGATATAACTGGCTCATCTCTTCACGAAATATTCTTTTTGATTTGATTTGTATTGTATAACTCAAAATGCATCTTTTGTCATGACGTCGATGACGTGCAACTTCGAATGCACAGGCTTCCACCTCTTTCAGGGTATAACCTTGTTCTACTTACTATTAGTGAGTAGTGTGATCATGTTCTTTCAAATGTTACCTTCACTTTCACCTTTATTGTTCCCCTTTGTTATAATCGTATTCTCTCCATTATCTTAACATACTACGATATTAGTATATTTCTCATTTCATGATTTATTGGGTTCCGTTTAGTGTTCCACCTGACATTCTGTCTTCCCTTGAAAATTTGTTTATTTCATCCCATTCTGCCCAGCTTTGGGGACTAGTACATTTTCGACACTTTTCCACATAGGGTTTGCTGTGGACACAACTTTGCTACCTATATTGTTGACGTACTTCCTATAAGGTGCTTACGTCGGTTACAATCCCACAGATACCTCACACTTTGAGTTTTCTAATTCATTTGTCATTTCTGTCTATTATTATACAGTATGGTACTTCAGAAAAATACAGTATTTTGGATTTTCTGCATAACTTGAGCGTTTAGTTGGTTTTTGGAAATCGCACCTGGCCATTTTGGTTTCAAATTTCTCGAAAAGATTCATATGTAGGTAATTTTTAAAAGCAGTGAGCTACGTGACTTCATCAGCCGTTACTTCCAGAGAAGTGAAGCATCTTCAACTTGTATGAATGCTTGTGAAGGATATTTACCGATCTTGAGCGTTATTGGCTTGTCAATAGAAGTGGGCTGTCACTATTTGTTTAATCAGGTGTTGAGCTGTATGACTATTACCATCATCTGCTCTAATGCTTGAATATTGATTCGCCTAACCGACTAACAGTTGGCTGATCCCTTCCTAGTAGTTCGCATGTCTGGTCAGTATACATATGTCAGTTGGTTATCAGTTGATGACTGAAGTTCCACGCCTTCACGAAATCTCTTACAGTTTGTCAGCTTCACTGCAAGTTGATGCTTATAGATTCTTTGGGTTGTTCAAAGACTGAATTGCCCAACGTAGTGATGCTGACAGTCCTTGCAACCAATTTTGCAGATTATATTCCTCTTGTCTTCTTTACGTTGAACAGATTCATCAGCTTGCATAATATGTTCTACAGGGATTTTGTTGGTTTGTGTACCATGCTGTAGTTGAATGGGTGAAGCAAACAGTTGACAGTTTCACATACATCTTTAAAGTTTTTCACTGATGCGACACTCAGAAACCAATTCTATTAGACGTTGACCTTATTACCATCAGCTCTTCTTGTAAGCTTGCTACCTGGGTAGCAATCTACCCTCCTACACATATTAGCCCATGATAATTGAAAATGTGGTCCAGTACCAGGTGTCAGCATCGGTTCCTACATTGGGTTTGTGGACTGGGCACCCTATAGCCTCCTATGAGCGATTCAAAAATCCATCTCGTTAAGTGTGGAGGGGGCGGGACTTTTATTTTTTTCGAAATGGTTAACAGTTTTGAAATGGTAAAGAATATTTCTAGCTCAAGTGGATGATCTTGGTTGTATTGTGTTTTCTGAGCTCAGAGAACACATCACATCAGACTGAATGGAGAAGTTTTTACTTATTATTTATTGATGAGTGTTATTTCGTGTTAATCACTATGCTGAAATGGATTGATCGGCGACGCTTAGCATATGAACTCCAGTAACCTGGTTAATGGCACCCTGGCTTTTGAACTACGGTGATATCGAATGGCTAAAGTATTCGGCTGGCATTTTATGAGATATCTTTTAATGTATGTTGTAAAGTGATTTGTTTTTCATATTGATGCGTGTGATGCGTGATGCATGTTCTGCTGATAGGCCCAACTTGGATGAAGTTGCTTGGATCGTTATTTGCTCTCAACACTTTGTACAGGTGGCTTTTCTTCTGACTTTGATCTTTGTTGAGTGAAGAAATGAGTTCTAACACGTGGAAATAATGTTGTTTGTTCATAGTGTCTTATGATGCACCTGGCTGCTATTAATGAAGTTCAAAGTTTGATTTTCAGGTGTCGTCTTACTGCACACATGAGTCTGTAAGGTCCCATCATATGTCCCATCGACAAGAAACATTTACTCATCATTTAATCCCTCTTGTTTTCCTAATTTCATGAAGTGAATACCTTCGAAGGTGTGACTGATGACATTGAACGTTTCCCAATTCACTTGTTTTGAGAAATTCACTCCCCTTTGTGAGGTTTGCCTGAACCATATAAGCTTTTCGTTTCACTCTAAACACTAACCTTGCACGCTTGACTAATCTTGTATACACTTACCACATCCCAGATGCCCTAATTTCCCCACAAGGTGAGTCATACCGTTTGTCTCCCTCCTCGTGAAACTTAGTACAACAGAAGAACACAAAGTCTTGTACGCACTGTCCGTTTACGTATAGTTTTGGCTATCTTAGTCATCTGTGTGTATATGCACAACTGAACTGATTTCCTGACTACGACGCACCATAATACATAAAAATGAAATAACCAATTGCATTCATCCATAGAAATGAGGTCACACGCAATAATTGGTTGATTCCTTTCATTCAACGGATAATTATTCCGGAATTGTTAGTTGTACACCAACGAATGAAAGGTCAATCGTAAGCTATCCAGTTGAGCAATACACTAATGTAGCGAAATACGTGGTTAGTAGAATACCTTTTAATTCATCCCATAATATTTATCTGAGATTCCTGTTATTCCATTATTGTCGGCTGTCATAACACTCTGAGGAGTTTCAACAATCAAGAAACACAGGTCATGTGATCTCTTGATTACTCGTGAACTACGAATCCACTTTTTAAGTATCAATTCTTGACATACATACATCTCAAAGGGTGGATAGTTATGGAAAACTTAAGGGATTTACACCACTTTTGCTGAATACACAATGATGACTGCAAGAACTTACTTGTGAGGTTAGCAGTTATCTCGCGGTTTTCAATAGCTGGTATGCACAGTGTTCTCACCCGCTGAATTGAAGCGAAAAGAAAGAAAGAAGAAATGGGCAGATATGCAAGTCAAATAAAGGATGATTTTGAAGGTGAGATTTTAAAAAGTAACTTTCATTCAAGACAGAGTATGCGAACTGGTACAATAGAGGTGGATTGGACCAAGTTGTCCCAGTTAAAGGAGATCAAAGTGACTTAATAGTGAAGGGTTTTTGAGACAACAATGAAGCGTTCATAGTTTGGAAAAAGGGAATCAAACACTCATATGTTCATGTTGCCTACAGAATTCTGGATAATTGTATAGGAATTTTTGAAACCATGTAGTTTTCTGGTATTAGTACCCATTACTTGTTTCATCTTTCTTCATTGACGCATCGATTCATATCTCTTCGCTTTGTTAACTTGGTATTAGTATTACACAATAGACGGTTTTGTTGAACTTCACAAGCCATACTCCGTCTAGGTCTTATACTTGCTGGCGTTCGTCAGTGGGGCGCATGTGGAGCCACATGGGGACAGATGTCTCCTCTTGGGTTCGAACCCACGTAACTCAGTGATAGGATCAGAGATGCTACCACTAAGGTGTTCAGGTCACGACTAAGCCCCCTGAAGTATTATATCATGTACATGAATCCATTACTAGTGGGTAACCTTAGTGTTTAGTCAGCACTGATGGAAGTTTATCCAACCATTTTTTGCAATATGGCCACCACACCAAGCTTAATGGTGTTGTGTATATCTCACTAACCATGATCCCTAATGAATCCATTGTGGATTTTGCACTTAGAAAGGCTGTTTACCGCATAACTATCACCTTCACAAAAAACTGCATAGATAATCACGCCTAAACTGATGTTAGGCGTTCTTTATATGAAATTCACACTACCAGGACATACTTATCAATACTGGCAGTAACAGGAAATTTGAGTTTTGTGTATAGTATATGAAAATAAAACGCTGATAAAATAAAAATACTCAACGCAATAGGATATATGAATTGAACACCCTAACGACTGATGTTCACTGGTCTACGAAATATGGGAAGACAACGACTGGCTTGCAACTGTAAGTACTACTTTAGTCCGACAAAAATGCAAATGTACGTGTTTATTAGTTTTTCCGAACACAAGAATGCGCTAGATGAAAGATAAAATAACTAATCCTGATTGGCTGTCCAAAGTATGAAATTGTCCAATAAGATTTATTCTGACCACATTGTAGCACAGATTAAAACTTGAAGGTCAAAAATGTCTACCCTGTCAGCCAATAACTCAAAATGCTGATTTGCATGTGGATGTGGAAGTTGTCATTAACAGAGATATACAACCTACAAAAGCCGACGAGAAATTAAGTATAGATAGTGACTATCTATGGAATCCAGGTTGTATGTTTCGTCCTATCTGTAACTCGTTAGCTGAAAGCAACGTATCAGTTCCATCCAACCAAGTTTAAACCTATTTAATTAATTTTCAGCCATTTTTGTTTTTGATGTTTTTTTTTCTAACTTGTGGAAAACTAAACAAGATTATTTCCAGTGAGACTCTGTGAGATGGCCGTGGTTTTGTGAACTGGTTTCATTCATGTTGAATGGTGATTGAAGGTGAGATGAAAATCCGGATGGTCACAAGATATGAACCATCAGCCTCTGGTTTACCGGCCCAAAGGTCTACCAGCTAATCTATGAGATGCAACCGCCAACTAGTTGTCTTAATTTCACCTGAATCACTAAGAGGTTTCATCCAATTGTTTTACGAATGTGTGATGCGCAAGCGTCAGTTCATTATAGTCCCACTGGCTTACCTTGATGAGTGAAGTGAATTTAAGACTTATTCAGCAGGTGGTTCTACTGGCTTAGTCGGTAGAGAGATGGGCAGGTAACGGGAAAATGTCTTGTTAGAATTCTGTTGTGAATCAAATCCTCATTTCACTCTCAATCACTACTCCGCATCAAGATTATTTTCACTGACCTTTTGAACGCTGTTTAAACTGTGATCACATGCACATATGTGAAGTTAAATGTTTAACTTAAACATTGATCACATTTATCGTGAGAGATCATGTAACTGCGTTTCTCACTAAAAGAGGCCTCGAGTATGTGCACAACTCTGTTGACGTCTCTGTACTCAAACACCCGCTGACTTACTACAGCTTATAGTGAGTCGTTTCCTCTGAATGGTATCCGTCAAGGATGTCCACTCTCTCTATTCCTGTTCAATTTTATCACAGGCATACTTTTGAAGGTCTCTTTCTTGTTGTCTGACTTCACAGGGATTGATCTTACCACAGGATGATCTTTGGTAAATCTAAAGTACGCAGATGATATAGTCCTATTAGCTGAAGACGCTGATAGGATGGGAAGTTTTCTAAACACCTTGAGTGGCAGTTTGAGAGTGCTTCGAATGCGAATCTGAGTATCCGAATCTCAACGATTAGTTTTCACAACAGAATTTTACTGCTGAACAAAATGAATAGTAGCTGGAAATGACATAAACTGATCTGTGGAACCTGTTAGCCGTATCAAGGTGATGGAAACACCAGATGTTTCAAACCAGTGAATCATCCTGAGTAGTTTCTAGCTCCTCACATTTTTCGGGAGGAAATTTCTTCAATTCATGATACTGTTATGTCACAGATCACATTCTGTAACTTCAGCTGACTGTTAGATGGTTTCCGAGGAAAAGCCTATTAATACCACAGTTGGCTGGCAGTGGGACAACTAGTTGGCTGGGAGGAACTGTTAACATGAACTGTTCAGTTTGTGAATCACTTGAAAGTTGACCATCATATTTAACTTGCATAATCACATTTGGCTCTCTATAGAAATTCAAAGTGTCGGAAGAGTTTTACTCACTTCCGAAATACCTTCAACACTGTATGATTTCCTCCGCGTCACTGTATATTCTTGATTCTGAGTGTGGGTGCACGTATGTGTGGATTATCGGTTAGCAGTTAATGTAAAGAATGAGATAATGTAGAACAACAAAAAATATACCAGAAAGTTATGTGATGGATTGTTTTGTAGCCCCTAACAAGACACGAAGTCTAGAAAACACTTCTGCCATAGATATGCATTCTGTAACACATGGGATCATGCTATAGGATAGTACTCAGTAACGACTTTAAAAGGTAATTTATGCAGGTAGCGAGACAGAGAGTGATAACTGAAGCTTTGCTGTTCGAATCGACACCAGACACATGAAATCGCAGTGATGTAACAGCAATTCCCCATTTGTGGAAACATTTTTGATGCCAGTTAAATCGAAGTATAAAATATGGTAGAACGAACCACTAGATGTCCATCCCAGTGATTAAGCCTCTGATTCCATTACTGGATGATGTGGGTTTAAATCTCTGAGGCTGCAGATACACGATTTGACGAGTTCCAACAAGTATGAAACCTTGGTAAATCACGACTTCCTGCCCACAGCTTTGAACAGTAGACTAGAGTGCAGTGCTGTATGATTCTGCTCGGAATGACATCCAGTGAAATATACAGTCATAGTCATATAAAAAGAGAATGACAATAGAATTATACTCTACTGCACTGCCCGAACTCTTCTCCTAGACGACTAAAACAGCTTTTTTGTTTCCATATTTCCCTGAGTTTGACATTAACGAAGGTGCATACCTTACATAATGTTAGACTTCTGAAATTTCACTAGAATCTTTCAGCTCTTTGTTCTCAAGCTTTTCAAGATTGTCTTAGCGATACATCCAGACACGCAGAAATCTGTAATTGGCACTACTGTGGTCAGTCTATATCTGCTGTCGATACCAAGGATGTATATGGCCAGATTCAGAGAGTATCTTTGACAGATTTTTCACAATGTTCGTTTTATTCATCCTGTTCAAGTTGGAATTCGTCGCAGACTGACATTATTTGGAGAACCATCGCAAAAACCTGGGAGCAGTGGACAGGTGCTTCGTCCTAGCATGAGACCCCTTGGCAGTACCTATCCACAACCCGTCTGGGGATCGAACTCACGCCAAACGCTTTAACCATTCAGCCACTGGGTTGAGTTGAGTTCACTGGTTCACAGTTTCCAACTTCTACCAATTCGCGATACAGTGAGACTATCGCACAAGGTCTTCCGTTGGCATCCGCTCCCGTTACTACTGGTTGACCCCACACGTCACGGCTTCTCATCAGAACTTCGTGATATCCATCTGGGAGCATGTTACTAATGAGCACTACACAGTAATAAATTTTTGAGATGATTGGGGATTTCGAGGTAGTAATCACGCTGACTGACATCAGATGGAGAACCATTGATAAACCTTAGAGTCCTGGACAGCTGTTTCATCCTGGTATGGATGCTGCTGGTCGCATGTTGTCGTGTATTGACAGAAGTAGGAAGATTTGGACTGCTTAAATTCATCCGATTTAATCACTGAGTGACAGGGTACCAGCCAGAAGACCTGAAGATCTCGGATTCGATACCTGGCGAAAGAGAATAGCTGTCAAGTACTGTGGGGTTTTCAACCGATGTCAGTCTGTGATGAATACCAAGTTGGTCAACGCTAGTGAAACTTCAAAGATGCCAAACAGTGTATACATGATTTTCAACCATGTCTCCAAGAGACTTCAGCAACTGAGGACACCAACAACAGAGTCTACATCTATTTCGGTTAACACCGCACACTGATATGGGCCATGTGTCAAATGCGCAACACATGCTGCAGCCATTTTATGCTACACCTACCGTAGCTTCCTGGGTTAGATGACCAGTTGCCATGCCAACAATTGATCTCGGTTACCTCAATCTGGGTAACTTCAAAAAATTTGCATCCAGCTTGACTTCCCTGTCTGTCGGTTGACAAGTAACTTCAAGTTAACTCATTTGATGATGCCATGAAACTCTGAAAGTGTCAGACAGATGAACATGATGGGAACTCATAACCATCTGAAGGTATCTATCCTTAATGGTCATTTCTTACAGTGATAATTACTTCAAGATAATTAAATGATCAGTCCATGGGTTCCTATAAAAAACAACTCAGTATTCACTTACATAGAAGGTGCAGCGGGATCACAGATCTGCAGCTTAGCAACACTGATAGTCGAATAGCCCTAGTCAAGTATTAATGGTTAATTCAACTCAGCTTCCATCCAACTAGGTTTCATGCTTGCTAATACACATCAGCAAAGCGCATCTATAATCTCGAGGGAATTGATGTCTCCTCTCCAGAGATTCGAACTCGCATAGCCCAGTGCTGCTGTCAGAGACGTTGCCACTGAGCTATTCATGGTGAGACTGATCTTTGGGTACAGACTAATGCATCTGGCTATGAGTCAAACTTGTTGTGTAAGGGCTTCAAGTAAGTGGAGTGGGGTTCAAACCCTGAACCCAGTGTTTGAATATCATGTGCTTAAGTCAGTTAGCCTTATTTCTTACCTAATATACCTTAGAATATAATAAAGTTGGTCAATAAAACGAACAATACCTGTTTAGAGGTTCCCGGTGTTCTAACAGTCTTTACAAGCATAACACATAGTAGCAGGAATATTCTCGTGCTGTCCATAAGCTAACTAGATTTTACAACCCATTCAGTAAAGTGATATACTCCGCTGGCAGAGGCATGTTCAAACCTCAGTTCTTCATAGACAACATTGTAGAGGCACAAGGAAGGAAGGATTTAATCTAATGTCCAAAACAGTCTATCAGCTAGCAACCGTTATGTCACAAGTACTCATCAACTAAGTTTAAATGACTATTGCTGAATAACAAGAACATACTACTCACTTGTATAAAAGTTCCAGGCGTCCTGACAATTTTCACAATCATTACAAATGGTATTAGAAATAAACTGGAGCTAGCCATGAACCAACCAAGTTTCACTGACCATCCAGGGAAGTGATATACTCCGCTAGCAGAAGCCCGCTTATACGTCAGTTCTTCATAAACAATAACACTGATAATGAAAAGTATCTAAATGTTTGCGGTAGGAATTTTCAGAAACAAAAAAGCATTTCATTAAAACAACCAGCTTAATGAACACTGAAACTTATTTTTAGAAAAATGGTTAGGAAAAAAAGACGACAAACCACCCGGTAGACATTCATCGCTTCTTGCTTGTACATTCACCTCCACTGAAGTACGTGGTGACTAATCGAATTACTTCTTGTTTATCTACAGTTTAAAGAAAATCTCTGCACATTAGTTGGCTGGAGGCAAGGAGCTTTGCCGCATCTAGGTTTCGGGTTTCTTGGTAGTCATCAAATGAAGGTGAATCTGCAATCTCGAGGGAACTAATACACCGTTTGTGGAACTCGAACCCACGCCACACAATGTACTGCATGTAGAGAGACGCTACCATTGGAGTTTTCAGGCTGTGACTGAATGAATTAAATGGTCCTGAGTGCTGACCGAATTCTATCATTGTGCAATGTGACCACCAGACTGTTAATCTTAGTATAGCAGTGCACTTTGATGGATGTTAGTCGGTCATAGGTAATCGTCAAGAAGCTTAACCTCGCCCAGCTTATTGGTTGTTTAATGACGCACAAATAGGAAAAACACTTATTTCAGTTTGAATTTAATGCCAACTGAAACATTAAAAACTCTTAGTGGGATTTCAGGAAGTTTATGTCTCTGATAAACTACACACAACTCCAAGAAGAAGAAGTGGATTAACTACCACTAACTTCTTAGATTATTCTCAGATTAGGGGGTCATTTCCTAAGTCATATGGGGACAAATGATAAGATACCCTCTAGAATCTGTGTCACCTAGCGGTATGTGGATCTCATATACGCCATCAGTCTCATTAGGGTTGAAGATCCACCTACTTGACTAGTGCTAACGGCATAGTTATCGAATGCTCTCAGGTGTTCAACTGATATCAGTCCATGATGAATACCAACCTGAAATCGATAAATCCCCTCAAACCTCCAAATTGGAAATATATCTAGACGAAGATGTGTATGTGAATTGCTTCCAACCACCTTACATAGATCAAAGTTTGGCACGATGGTGAACTTCACAGTGCCATAATCCTAGTGAAGAGGTTGATGAGGAGGGGATTCAGTCAACCTACAAGACTAGAGCATATAACACTACAACAATGTAATTTGTCTAAGTCGCGCAATGTATTTGCTCAAAACGCTTGGAGTAATCGGAATGGTTTATCGTCAAAAAGTATAGAGGAGGATGCTAACTGCTTGTCTTTCCTAAACGTTCTTGCCAACTAATGACAAAGTGGGTCAGGGAAACGATGTATTTGTAGAACAATATTTAAAATATCCCAGTTTCTAATTTACTTGGTGATGGCTTACAGTCGAATCCGGTACACTCGCGCCTCGTCCTATTTGGGACCAACTTGTCAGCTGAATGTACCTGTATCCCAGTGAATGGTGGGATCCCCTCCGGGACTCGATCCTAGTACTAATCCCCTCAAACGCCAAAACGTTAACCCCTAGGCCATACGACCATGAGAACCACTTCTTGTACAACAGGTATTAGTTATTATCACTATTTCTTGATACTTGTAATTCCCCGTTCTTATACTGACTCAAACTGATCGACCTCTGTTAGCATATGACTGTCCTAACCCTGTAGCCTAGCGGATAACATTTTAGGTTTTGAAACGGTAGATAAGGGGTCCCACTCTCTTTGGGAATTCCATTTCTCTCCGAGGTGCAGTTACTTCCAGCTGACGGGTTCTTCCTAAATAGGGTAAAATGCACCTCCTGGACTTCAGTGCTAGCCACTACCAAGTAAATTATAATGAATAGTCAAGCAACATAGAGGCATCCATATAGGTATCCATAAACCAATCACTTCAGTTCAGCATCAAAACAACGGGGAATTATAAGAATGTCAACAAATAATTGTCCCTGTTTCTATCCAAAATGACTTAGTGAGGTGTTTCTTATCGTCAGATTCAAAGATTATGCAGGGTCGATACGTTGGAAGAAGAGAAAAGGCTGGCGACAATCACATTAATTGAAAAGAACTACCCACTGGAGTTCATTAGTCATCATCAAGTGGACAGAGCATTGAGAAATATTGTCCATTCTGTCCTTAAAGAAAGAAATATTCATCAAGCTGCCATACACTAGTTATGCGAATAGCCTGACAGTCAAACAGTAACTTAACGCTGCCATCAAGAAAACATATTAGACAGTTAAGATTCGGATAAGTGGAACTTTTGAAGCCTATACATTCATGAAAGCCATTGAAACAGGTGAAAGATGAAGTCACTGTTTGCCCATCATTGGTGATTGAAGTGAAATAAAAATCAGGTCAGTAATTGGGTCTCTCTCTCTCTCTCTCATACAGAGACCCCAATGGTCACTGGTTCGGATCTTGCAGTGACCCAGATTTTCATTTCACCTTCACCCTTAGCTTTACAATCTTCCAGATAAATATCAAGGACAAGTAAATGTGTGTGTGTGTGTGTGTGATCAGACTGTTCAGACAAATTACATCTTATTGTTTTCAAGTTGATTTTTATCACGTAGTGACATTAATTGAAGAATCATTGAAAGCTTGAGAGCCCTGGACTTCTGTTTCGTCCACAATAGTGTACACCCATAACCTCAACAGGGATCGAATCCGACACTATCAGTTTTCGCGGCAAGTACATCATCATCCAGCCAATGTGTCAGGGTCCACTGGTTCACACTTCCCTGCCTCTGTCAATTCACGATATCGTCAGCATGATCTTTATCCAACGCCATCGTTGATTCTTTGTTCTCACTCGCGATTTGATTCACCCCAACGGTCATGACTTCTCCTTCAAACTTCGGGAAATCTCATCTCCAAGCAAGTCACTTAGTAAGGAGTGGTGGACAGTAATGCGGTCGTTGATGGGGTCATACCTGTCCATTGCTGAGGAATTCCATATTAGGAAGAAACATCTGTCCAGTGATTCAAAGTTTTTAGTGATTCTCCAGTTGATGTCAGTAGGTGATGAATAACATCTCAAATTTTTTATTGAGATGCCATTATCTGAATAAGCCACACTAAATCACTGAAAGAGTATGCGGAACCAATCGAAAAACAGCTAGTACTGGTGCAGAATGAGCACAAAACATAACTCATTTAAAACTGTCAGCTTACAAGAGTGAATAACGGTGTAACTAAACACCAGAGTATGAATGTCGTCCACTTTAATGAAAATCCAAACATCGTCTTCATATCGTTTGAAATACGTCTGAAACCTGTAAAATTGTGTGACTAAATTATCATAAATAATTTTTTAAGTATCAGCATCTTAATATTATTTCAGAAAATTTAACGTCAATCAAATAATTTTTAGCGTAGTCGTATACATTACTTACAGATGGTTATCAATTAGGCTAGGCTTTTTATCGAAGAAAACCCCCTTTTAGAAAAATCCCAGTTCATTGTTCGTGATAAGATCCGTATCGTTCCCCATATGATAGTCCAGATGAATCAAAGGAGATCAGAGTTCTTGACTTCCTTCACAAGAATTAATATAAATCGAAAGTTTTGAGAAAGGATAGGTGATCATACGAGAGAATATAGGACTGGTTGGTGAGACAGAAGCATGATGGAGTGATGTTATTACTTGATTGGACCGAAGTGATCGACCACACTTTACATGTGGGCTGCTGTCCACATGCCTGGAAATTGTCGATCGTTTTATCCTATTTGGGACCCGTTTGTCAACTGGATGCTCTTGTCTCCACTTACTGAAACTGGAACGTAGACGAAACGTATGACCTTAATTCCATGGCTAACCATTATCCATCTTTACTCTCAAGCTGAAATTACCGGTAATATCAAAGCATCCAGGGAGGAGCCTATATGCCATTTCCATCCAATCGATTTAGTCAGTCAACTTTCGGGAACTATGACTTATAAGGCCAGAAGATATTCAACGCGAAAGGAATGGCTATAATGACTCCGTAGGTAGTGTATGGTACGCTGGTGTTTGAAGCGATGGATACTGGGTTCGAGTCTCGGTGGGAACAACATCACTCATAGAAGGGCAAGTAAATCGAAACTGATGAGCGAGTTTCAAATAAGACGAAACGCAGGTGTCGTGGATTCCACTGCTAGTCACTATCCATCACTGCAATCAATGTGGAATGTTCTTCTGCAAGACCCTGTTTTTCGAGAAACCAATAAGCATCAAGGGTGAAATCAGGAGGTCATTGTTGAATTGTACCTACGGATTACACCAGGTTACAATAAGTTTTAATTGCAGTGTTTGGTGATTACCAACTAGCCAATGGAATTCTGTTTAATCTAGACGACTATTCAAAATTTCCTATGATGAAAAATACTGTAAGTTCAATTAGACGTGCAAATATAGATATTTTCAAATTATCCAGTACATGAAAAGTAATTTTTTTTGAAAAATAAAAATTTGACTAATTCAACCAACCATAAATATATCCAATCACAGCAGATTCTAGCAATCCCACAATTAATATGATACGACTACCGCTATAGTAATCGAATAATTGAAACACATACATTCCACCCTGAAAGTAAATCATAAAAGAAAGAAAGAGCATTTTCTTTAGAACAACGGAATATGATATAATGGTTAGAATGAAGATTATGCGTGAATGTATAAGTGGAACTCAGATCAATTCTGAGCGATTTCATCACCTAGGGTCTACAACTACCGATTTCGGTTATCATACGAACTTCTCCCATAACCCTCAGGTCAATAGATAAAAACGTTAGGGACTAATACCATATTTTGGTCTGGCTACCCCTAACGTTCTTCCAGGCTGAACGTAATTCAATTCAGCCAATAACATGATGTAATCAGGCAAACGATGACTAGGCGGAAATAATACACATCCTAGCCGTCTGGTTCAATGAAGATTCACAACCTTGTCAACTGACTTCCTTTTCTTTGTGAAAATCTCTACCTCAAGATGGACATTGGCTAGCAGAGGGATCCAAGACATGCGTTTCTTCCTATTTGGGATCCATACATCAACTGGATGCATCTACCGCCACCCTAGTAAGTGAAGATGTCTTCATAAGGATTTAAACCCAGAACGGATCGCTTCATACTCTACTAACCCGCAATGCATTCCGCTCGATAATACAAAGCTGTACGTTATGTCATCAAAAGTACGTACACCTGTCGTATAGGAAGAGTTCATCGTGACTCAGTAGCCTCCTGGATAACGTTCTGGCGTGAACTGAAAGTCTAAAGAAAAAACTGATATGTGAATGAGCAGCTAAGAAAAGTAAAATAAGTTAACAAGTTGGTTGGAAGCTAACCCCCAGTTTCCCTTTGTACATGTGAGTTTGGTTAAAAAGGTTTGATTTTAGTCGTTGTATCGGCCAAAAAATAGAAAACATGAACCTTATTATTTATTTAATTAAAAGTCATTTTACTCGCAAATTATTCGGTGACACCTATGTATGGATTGGCGCAAGAACTTTCGAATGACCCCTCCGTAATTTCTGTATGACTTAAAGTTACGAAGTAATTGCCTGTTGATTGAAATTATCAGTTATTGTGTATGATCTCATTTTTTGTACATGAATGGAATTGGTTGTTTCATTTTCATGAATTATCGTGCGTTGTGGTCAAGAAATCAGTTTGATGACTCAGAATGTCAAAAATATACCTAGACGGACAATGGGAGCAAGACTTTCTGTTATTTGGTACCAAGTTGCAGTTGGGGGTCAAATTGTATGACATAGTATGAGTGAACTGAGGTATACGAGACGTGGCAAGTGTATACAAGATTGAACACACATTCAAGATCAGCGCTTGGAGTGAGCTGGAAAAGTCACATGGTTCAGGAAGTTACAACTAAGAACGGAGATAACTTTAGTTACTTGAGCAAATGGAAGAAGACTTGGCCTGCTTTGTGTCCGTTGATGATCTTGAACTTCTGTCTTCGGGACATTTACTTAGTCTCCTGCATGTCTACCCGACCCTAAGGAACTGCACTACTGGGACCATTCTGTCCCCTTAATCACATAAAACAAAAGCTTATTTTAGTGTTAAGTACCAAACAGCTGAAAAAGTATTTTACAGTGTGACGAACTCATTTTCTGCTATAAATCCATCTTGTCGTTGCAGGTAACTCTTTGATACTTGAAGCGACAGGTTCTGGGTTGGAGTCCCAGAGTGGACACCACCACTCACTGGGGTTCAGATATTTTCAGCTAACAAGTGAATCCCGAACAGGACAAAATCCACGCCGAGGATACCACTGCTAGCCACTAAGTACCTTATAGTATAGTGAATATTCAGGCAACATAGTAGCATCTGCCAACAGATGTCATGCAATGCTATCCAGTATAGCAACGCGAAATGACAAGTATCAATAAGTGTCGTTACTTTGTTGGTACAAATACAGAGTAATTAAAACTTTCAGCAAACCAAAGATCGCATATAAAATATAAATAAATCAACTTACATTAGTGACCATCAACAGCCCAACCAAGTATGACGCCAAGCAGACACAACCAACAAATCCACAACGAATCCAAGTATTCGCCAATGCATGCGGAAAATAGTCTGCAGCAGCTGTTACAAACCCTTCGACACCACCAAACTATTTAAGTAGAATATTAAAATGGGATATAAAAAATGTTCAAATGTCGTCATGGATGATTAGGAAAGATATTGGTTTTTAAAAGGAAGTAAGTAATTAATAAGGATTAAGGAAACAGAACGGTATAAAGTGATGAAATGCCGGTTTCGATGTCCAAATAGCGGCCTACAGTGTTGGATATTATACTGAAATGTTTCCACATAGTAGCCACCATGAGACGATTAATCTCTTATTCCTAGCTAGAGAACAACAAACTGACGGGAACCACCTGGCCTCGCAAATGACGTTGAACCGGCCAATCTCTTTGACGGTGGTTGTGCGGTTTTCTAGAAAGCTTTGAATTATTGAAGGGATGGCGCTGATTACAGGACAAGATTAAAAATCGAATAGGCTCAAATATTAGCTCCGACTCTAGAAAAAGGACGTAATCGCTGTTTTGCTATCAAATAATTCAAGAGAAACACTTGTTTCCTATTGGTGCATCCAGGGTCATATAGTGGACGTTCATGTGACTAATCCATGTGTCAGTTAAACATAACAAGTGTAATTACACATGAAATTAAACGTGTGCAGTTCGAGTTATGAGTCAGGAAATCATGTGGTACGAGAAAGGGTAACTTTAATGGCCACCCTAGCAACTGCGGAAATAACCAATCAGGTTACAGTATTCTGTCTAGAAAGTTTTTCATAAAACAGAGAAGCCTAACTGGTTATCTTAACAGTTGCCAGGGTTGCCATTAAAGTCACTATCATTCCCCACTGATTAATTTCACACCAGTTGGAGATTTCAGAAATACGGCTTAGTATTATATCTAAGCTCTGATTGTTACCTACCTTCACTTGATGTTTTCTTATAGGGAGACTTTAAAGGGCGATTTTAAGGGCACCCTAGTAACTTATGGAATAACCAATCAAATCTTGAAATTTCAGCTGGGAAGATGGTTATTTTTAAAATGAAAGAACACGATTGCCTATTTCATCGGTTGCTGGGGTGGCCTTTAAAGTGGCCCCAGTCTAAAGGCCATTCTGCAGCTGATGAAACAACCAATCACTTTTCTCTATTCTATAAAAAACTGTCATCCTAGCCAAAATGCCGCAACCTGAATGGCTGTTTTGTTAGTTGTTAGGGTGGTCATTAAAGTCCCCTCGAATGATAGTAGATTACATTTATAAATCGTAACACACTAACGTCCAAATGGAGTTTTTGCTCATTATGTTTCCTAGACAGACAATGAGACCTGTGTGATTAAACCGATGTCACTACATGTAGTACTTATTTGCACTCTATCATATAGTTCTCACTGCAGTAATATCTCAACTTCACAGATAGTTGGATATACTATATCAATTCATCTTCACAGCTCAACAAGCTCTGTATTTTTAATGCAATCTCATCGTCCACCTACTGACTTACTACTTTTCTTCCCACACATCTTAATTTGTATGTGTCTTCCTTATCATTGTCTAGACACCCCTTTAACAATTGTAACCTTCATCCTGATTGGCCAACTCTGCCTCTCTAATTAAGTTTTATGTGGACTGGTATCAATCATTTCATGGATTGTTCTGATGCATGTAATTTCCCGTTGCTACACCGAGTCAAATTCCTCGACCTGTGTTTCCAGATGGGTTCCTATGCGGATCCCTCGACACCGTCTGAATATCCATTACATTGTGGTCTGCTTGGTGGCTAGTAGTGAAATCCAGGAGACGAGCGTTTCCTCCTATTTGTGACTCACTTGTCAGCTGGATGTGTATGCTTCAGTGTGAGTGGTGGTGTTCCCAGTGGGACTCCACCCCACCACCCATCGCTTCAAATCCCAAGGCGTTATCCACTAAGCCACTGGGGCATTTCACGGGCTAGTCAAAATAAACACTATACCGTAAATGAATACTAATTGGTTGCTCTGATAGCTAATTCAGTGTCTTGTGGTTGTGGATGTTTTACTACTTTGGAGTTGGACATTATCCTCAGCATTGCCGTAATGTAGAAATAAAGCTTACGAATAGCCTGAAAGTAGTGTGACTCCATGACCTAACAAAGTTGACTTGAACTGGTTGATTTCAACAGCATATCTGCCTCATGTACAAGGAAGGCATCAATATTTGCATAGCGATATCATTTCAGATATTCCGCTAAACCTACATCTTTCCTTTTTATATAAATGACGAGGTCGTGTAGTTGAGTTTTGTAGACTGGAGAAACAACCTCCACAGACACTGCCATTAGAGATAAATTGTTTGTAGTATCATACATGACCGCTGTGGCGGAGTGTGACTGTACATGAAACAGTGTCACATAGTTTTATCACCCGGATGACGCTTCCAACATAAATTATTGCTCACATAAGCATATCAGGGTAATCATACAACTTCCAATATCTGGTTTCCATAGTTCGACTATCTTGGACTGTTTTTTTACTATGGTAACAACATTTTTTCACATTTCTGGAGTGGAAGAGATGCTATATCATTCCTGTTGCGTATATGTTGGATGTTGATTCGATGAATGAAAAGTCACTGGTAATTATCCCCCTCTCTTCCGACGTAACCATATTTGACTTCAGTTAAAAATGCAACGCATCAATAGTTTCTTCAAGACTGACCTTCAGTAGTGCCCTGTCTAACAATAGGAAGTGGAGTGGTCGAGTGCGCTGAGCATTTCACTTATGTCGAAAGTCGGATCTCCCCTAGTGGGTCGGCCAGTGGCCGACAAAATCTCTCTCTATCTCTCTTTCTGTTGATACATAAGGCTCGATTGACTTTCACTAACTTATGGCCACTTCTAGCGCCACCATGATATCTGATTGTTACCTGAGGGTTAAGTGTACTGTGCTGCAGTTTGTCCTGTCCTTCATCATGGCTGTGAAACATGGCCATTAAAGTTAGCAGACACAAAAAGTCTTGTAGTGTCTGACCATCGTTCTCTTCATAAAACAGGCTGTGTATCATGGCATCAGAAAGTCACTAATGCAGAAGTCAGGTGTAGAGCTTTAGAGAGAAAAGGAATGCCAATTAGTGAGATTGTGAACCTCCATCGACTGAGACACCTGGGATATGTATTACGTATGCTCTATCATCATCTGTTTCATCCCAGAATGTTGGCTGAAACATGTTCGGGCTGGAAGAAGGTTAGAGGAGGCATAAAGTCTTGACCATTGATCTGATATCACTTAAAGCGGGTTCACTGAAGTGTGTAAGTAATGGAGCTAGAAAACTCACTAATGAATCCAGAGAAAAGGAAATACTTTGGACCAACAATTATTCCATAGAGTTCATCAAAATTTAAGTAAGGATATATAATAAGTAGTAATAGCAGTGTGACTGGTAACTGTAACACAAGTAGTCAGGAATTCAAGCCAACAAACTCAGAGACTAACTTTGTCGGTTTAAGGATCCTATTGACCCACTGAAACAAAATAATTTCATTTATCAAATACCATTGAGTGATTTTGATGTCAATTTCAGAGGTGAGACAAATTATCGGAATGTAGGAATTTGGTCGAATTTAAAGTCATAGGCCTTACCTTGGTCAATAATTTAGAAAAATACTGAAATATTTCAATGCATGCATTTACATAAAGCCACAAAATAGGGTTGGACAGAGAACTGTACTTGAATCCACTATAATTAGGAGAAAGGAGAGATTGATTACCGAATCTTTGTTCATCGAATGAACATCTAATACATGTAACAGAAATGACTTTGCACGTATAACGGAATGTGAACAGTTTTACTGTCACTTTGACAAAAAAAGGAATAGAAGGTAGTGGAATTATGCAAAACACTAGCTCTAATATTTGCCTCATTTACCATACTGTCAATACCGAGTAGAATGATCATAGTAAAAAAACAGATTGACCAGAACGGACTGCCCGGCATTGTGCCTATCGCTTTTGGATAGACGACAAATCCCAATCCTGGACCAGATTCAGCGATTAAATTCAACGGTATATTCGATGTATGCGCCATATAGCCAAGTGTGGCGAAGATGATGCATCCAGACAGTAGACTTGTACAAGTGTTTGCCAGTGCGAATAAGACACAATCTCTGAAAGTTAAAATGAGCACATGAGACAAGCGCTTATTAACGGCTACTTGACAAAAGCGAGTAGATGAAAGGAAGTTCGATAATTGACCAGTGTAATTTTGAAGGTATTCATGACTAAAACAACTAGCTAGTGGCCTTTGAATAGTGTCTTCGAAAACATAGTAACCACTCTTTCGCTACCTTTATTTCGTTAGTTCTGTCTCAGGATCATTGAGTTCATGCTTTTTGAAGGCATATCTACAAAAATGGACCACATCTTGTTGTCTATGGGAAGTGAATTCTCGTCTCCCTTAAGTGAACCAAGAAACACAACTACTGACGTATATGATCTCTACCTGTAATAACAAGTGTGAAATATGGGTTTCAGACTTTTCACTAATTGTTTTCTGATTTTTTAATATCACGATCGGTTGTTTTATATCAGCTGAAAAATGGAAATTGTGAATCTCAGATAAGAAGTGTCATTGTCGGTATTATTCTATTCATTTCAAAAGTCATTTTACTTATGATCTAACTGGTAACATTGTTATATAGCTCAGATCAAAAGCTTTCGATGAACCCTCCACCGATTTCTGTATGACTGTTATTTCGGAAATAACTCCATGCTGAGTGAAACTCATTTTTATGCACTATGGTGCATTATGGTCTGATAATTTACTTGTGTTTATAAATGAATCGTATCGCCTGAAATATAGGAACAATAAACACGAGACCTTTTGTTCCGTTGTGTTGGTAATTTCCGATTAGAATTCAATACAAATCCCACTTAGACAAGTGTTATCGTTGCTACTGTTTCATTTATTTTCAAAGGCATCTCACTTGAGACACACTGAATATATATATATTTTTATATTTTACTTGTCCCTTGAGTTCCTAGTGGAACATAGGGCTTCGGTAGCACGTTGCCATTTCACTCTGTTCTCTGCAGTCTTTTGAACCTGGCTGCCTCTTCTGCCAACTTGTTAGTTTTCCCCTGTGTATCTTCGAGTTTGTGCGTCACTAGACATAAATCATCGGTGAAATCTAAATATTCTAGGGTCTTTTCATCGGTCAAACAGCGTACGCTTGTCTTCTCGCTCCTCACATTTTGTTGCATGATCTAGTTCATTCACCAGAATCAGGAAGATCATCGGTGATGATAGTAGGCAACCTTGCCGTATTTCTGTCCTCACTACTGAAGATATATATATGATTCGCATGCCCAGGATACAAGTAACTCTAAAGACCTATCTTATAACTATTGTAATAACCATAAATGAATTGTATTTGTAATAACCAATTAGATTTCTCTATTTTATGAGAACCTACCTTTCCAACCAAAATAAAGGAACGGAATCGGTAATTTCTGTGGTTGGATAGGATGGCCTTTAGAGTCACCAAACGAACAAAAATGGCAACCAACTCACAGAAAGCGGTCTTAGTGAAAAACAACATTTAAGTCATCATTTGCAAAGGTAGGAGCCTTAGTATTTCAGCCTTTATTTCATTTATTCCTCTGTGTGGTCAGAAATAACCTTATTGGGCAATTTTTTCCTACAGTTGGCCAATCAAAATAAACTAACTGACTTTTGACCTAGTGGTTTTATATGTTGATAAAACTGTACGTAAATGATTTATCTTATTCAAACAAAGTGTCTTCCTCAAAGTAGCATGCCGGTTTTTACCTTCTGATTTTCACGGCTCAGTGAAAAATAAGGTTCTGAAGGTGAACAGTCGGTATTTGTATGCAGTCCAAGTGTCTCATCACGCTTATGTCACTCGCGTATTTAATATTATTTAGTCGGCCACTTCAAAAACACTATTTGTGTCCCGTTTAACCAAAACTGGGGATCACAAATCGTGTAGTAATTGCCCGAGGTGAAATGACTCTAAAAGGCAATCTAGACAATCAGGTTTCTCCATTCTGACTGAAGAAGCAATACTTTCATTCTTGAAAGAATTTGAAAATGAAGATGAGTGATGAAAATATTCAAGCTATAAAAGACAGAATTGTCACCGATTTTCAGCTATTTTATTAACATTCTGGAACCACTGATTCCTATGGTCACGAGAACCCTAACCTGGAGTCTACACCTCCCTACATGGATCAAACCAACAGTCGAACATGTTACCAACCGGTGTCACGAAAAAGTCTAGACCAATACGAGATGGGCAGTGGCCCAGCATTCTCAGTACATGTGTCCAAAGCACCTTATATATATATATGTTAATCGACTTTTTCAGAGGTAATAAACTTTCCCATCCAAGCCAGTTTTATTCTCAATTTCCCTCGGGGTTGGAGTCAGTGGGTTAGGTGCCCGATTTTCAGCCATATCATAAATAGTCTTCAAGCACTGATTGATCTATCGTAGTCCCTAATTACCCTTAGGGGTCAGACCAACAGTAAGAGACTTCACTGACTGGTGTCATGTCTTGGTTTGGTCAGCCTGAAGCCTCTTCCAACCCAGTCCAACTTCCCATAGCTAGCATGGTACATCGAGGTAGGTGGTGCCTGGGCTTGTCCAGTATATGTCGAAGTCAACTCAGTGGATGATGGTTCATAACCTCACCAATCGACTTGCCTGTCTTGCCTAGTAGTACAGTATCATTCGTCTGACCTCAACATTGGTCATACGGCGTTGATTGCAACAAACGCGAGCATTGCTACGAAGACATGTATGGTGAGAACCCGATAAATTCTTGGTGTCTTCTACTTCTGATGGGCATGTTCCACAGCTGTACAGCGGGAGATAACGGAGTGGGGCGCAGTCTACTAGTGCTTTGATAGGTAGGTAGATTAGTCGAGTATCTCGTGAGTCAGCGCCACAGGTGATGCGAGATGATAAAAGTCAATGGACCTTTGTATCCAACCTGAGATCACGTCCGCAACCAGTTCGTTCGAACTTATACAACTTAAGTGAAGTGGTTTACACATTCCACCACTTCCCTCTCTATAACATACACACACCCCACTTAGGCGATAAAGAGGCATTTATCACGGATTCTTATGTGACAATGGTAATCGCTGGAATGTGTCCGTTGAATATTATTCTTTCTTATGTAATAATTTTAAAGATTTCACATGTTATTGCTATTTATTGACGTACTTGTAATCCTCCGTTGTTTTATTGGATAAAATTGCTCGACCTCTATTGGCATACGGGCTCCTATGCGGACGCCTCGATATTGCCTAAGTATTGATTATGGTAATTTGGATGCTAGCCACAACCAATTCGACCCAATGAAAGAATGGAGAATAACAAGTATGTCAATAAATAGTAATAACTACTACCCGTTGTACAAGAAGTGACCATCGTTCCTCTGTGGCATAGTGGATAACGTCCTGCCGTATGAAGAGATGGGTACGAGGTTTCGAGTCTCAGTGGGGACAACATCACTCACTGGGCTGCAGGTACACCCAGCTGACGAGCCCCAGATAGCACAAAACGCGGGTCCTGGATTCCCCTGCTAGCCACAACCAACCAAATTACCATATCACATGTTAAATTTAGAAAAGAGCATCAGAATATTACCTTTGCATAACAGTTTGGATTGACTGAATGGTTTGCAAATCGAATTTTATTGCCTTTTCGAGTTGCATCCACAACGAAATCACGATTAAGGTTGAACAGAAAACTGCTCATTGTTCTATCATAAATTTTGCCTAATATTTACATTTTTCAAAAAAAAAGAACGAAATACTTTTATAGTATACCAACTATTAGGATGTTATTTCAATAAATACGGTCTAGATTATAGTCACTATTACAATAATAACATCCGTTTTCGTCGGTCGAGTAACAAAGTAAGTATAGCACTGGGAAACATTGATTAGTTTCCAGATAGAAACCAATTTCATGTTGTCTAGTGCTGATCGAGCCCTATCGATTGTTTTTGTAATGTTGCCACCAAGCTAGAAGGTTCCGCATCAAGGTGGATATTGACAGATGTAAGTTATTCGGAGGCAATCGAGAGGAAGCCTTGAACCTAGGTTTCGTGCTTGTTGGCACTCATCAGCAAGGCGTATCTGCAACCTCAACAAGACTGATGTCCCGCTTGAGATTCGAACCCATGTCGCCTACTGTTGCAGTCCAAGATGAACTATTGGGGTCGCGATGAGTTAGGTACAATAATTGGTCAGTGGAGAGAAACTGATTTCATGCTGTATAGTCCTGAGTGCTGATCGAATTCTATCGATCATTTTGCAATATGGTCCTGTCGATTGCTTTCAACCATCTAACATCCACTAAAGTGCACCACGATGATGAGCCGCTTAGCTTTGCGGCCATATTGGAAAATGATCGATCAGCACTCAGGGCTATAAAACATGAAATTAGTTGCTCTCTAGTGACACTAGTCAATGCATCTAACCCAGTCCGATGGCAGATCAACTGCTGCCTGAATAGCTCTCTGGGAGCGCTATTAACAGCAATACTGGGCGACCTGTGTTCGAATCTCACAAAGGATATCAGATCCCTCAAGGTTGCAGGTTGCCGCCAAGAAATAAACACTAAGAAACAAGAAAAAAGAACGACAGTATGGATACAGCTTTTTTTTGTTTCAACTCTCCAATTGTTCAACTGCGCAAAGACATTGGCGATTAGTTTCTTCTTTAGGCAGCGAATCGTAAAACAAATTCGACTTTGATTAACACTATCTATGCGCATTGATCAGTCAGTCAGTCACTTTTGACAAGATTCAACACACTGGTCAGAATAAATGTTATAATACACTGAAGTAAATCAAATTACCTCGTCGATCCGCCTCATCTTGACTGATTATCTCACCGCAATACTCGTAGATAAATTCATTCCTCTCTGCACCATCTTTGATAAATATACCCCAACTACAAATCAAATGAAGTAATTAATTAACCAGCCAACTAACAAAGTAACTAAATAAGTAATTCAATAACTAATTACATGAATAAATAAATGATTATTTATTTAGCAAGTAACTAGGTATGTAGGTAGGTAGGTAAGCAAGTAGGTAAGACTGCGAAAGAGATAAGAACTCGACTGGAAGAAAGTTCACTTACCCAGCCACATCAGAAGGCGCCATTAAAAGATGTTTACGCGAGCCACGTTGGATAGCTACATTACGACACGTTCCAGTTATTGGTGGTACAGTAGTCTGTAGCAGGGAGAGTAATTCCATAGAATTTCCTGATGACAACGATCGAAATGATGCATGCGCACCACAGGATAAGCAAAGATCTGGATCACATTCTCTAACCGCCAAAAACAGGGGCATAATTTGGTGTTACACTGGCCTCGACAACGACAGCCTAAAAATCTGAATTTATCATGAGAAAAGAAAAGTTTAAAGCACAGAGAAAATTTTCACAGACTAGGTAAGCGAGCACGTAAAGTTATTTGAGGGTGTACAACAAAAAAAACAACCCAATCGATTTAACCATCTTTCATCAAAAAATATAATATCCCTTAATAATTAAATGGCTCCTGTGGACAATTGCTCTTGGGACTTAATTTTCTGCCCTAGTGAACACATCTCGCAGTGTGGTTAAGCAAAGGTAATAATAAAGACCAGTCTGACTAGCTGAAATAGCCGTGGTTTGGTAGACCAGTAGTTATACTGGATGACGATTGGACAGCAGCACATTTTGAACCAGCAACCTACGGGTTACCGACCATCGAAGAGGAAATAAAAGGCGGCTGAGATTTTCATCTCAGCCTCAATCATATATCTAACCATCTGTTTATGCATGGATATATTAAACTTACCTATTTGGACAGTCTGGAGGGCATTGACAAAACTTTTCACAGAATGTCCCAGCTTTCCGACACGAGCACATATCATCACATCGTTGACCAGGATGGTCACAAGGATGATAATGATGTGCAAAGGAACCACTTGGCACCAGACCATTTCCATTCCTATTTGAACCATTCTGCTGAGAACCGTTCGCTTGCGACTCTTCATCATCTTCTAAACAATCAGATGTACAAAAAAGTACAGAAACATGGTTGAAGAAAGAAGGGAGGAGGAGGAGGAACTGCAGTTGTATAACAGTATATATCGACCAACTATGAAAACAACTTCACATTCACCTCGAATACTGATTGAAGGCAACTGGCGAGAAACCTTGCCAGGACCTAGGTTTCGCACTTGTTAGGACTCGTTAGCAAAGGTGTACGTGTTTGAAACCACAATGGGGAATCAGTCATAGGAGCAAACAGCTCACTGATAAGGTTTTCGACTGCAGCACTGATTGATATGGGTGCGAGTCTCATAGAAGAAACAACATTTCCCTTATTGATGAGTGATAACAAGCACGAAACCTATGTCAAGTAGGGGTTTTTTATCGATTGGCGTACCGCGATGCTCATACAAAAGTTTCACTTACCCAGCCGGCGGCTTGGAAGTCCTAACAGCATACTCTTATTCAGACGACGTCGTCTTGATCGTTTTCGACGATATGATGATAGTAAACTATAACTAGCTGATTCATTAGTACAGTCTTCGCCAAACTCTCCATTGTCTTGAACACTACCACTGCACGATCCCGACCCAGCACAATCCCCAGCATCATTCAATGATGCTGTGCTGGCTGATCGTCGAACCCATTCTACGCCAGTACCGGGTACACGTAATTGGCTTAATTGTCCAGAATCTGGCAGTAGAAGAGTTGAGAGATTCTGTGTAGTTGAATAGCTAAGCACCTGAATAAACAAATACATGAGCAATGATTCAGCAGCTGGGAGTACTTCGAAGAGTGTAAATCTGACTGACAAAATCAACGTAGAATCTCGCAAACATTTGCATCGACTCAATTTGCCACACTTCACACACAGTAGTACGCAAAGAACAGGTACATAGGAAAAGAGTGTTATGAAAGTAGATAGAGTAGTGTGAGAGAGAGAATAAGCAATGTGAAGGTTAGTGTGAATATGCCAAGCTTTAGAATATGTGAAGGGGTGAATAGGGCTAACTGGGCGATTGTGATCGATTTTTAGGCATGTCACCAACAGTCGTTAAGCACTGATTCATCTTTTGTCTCGAGAACCGAAGAAGGTAGTGTTAAATTCCTCACACGGATGAGGTGAATAGTAAGAGAGTTTATCGACTGATTCCAAGTCTTGATCTAGCCACCATGAACCCTCTTCTAATCGAATCCAACTTCCTCTTGATCAGCACCTCGAGGTAGGCGGCGACCTTGTATACGCAACACAAGCCATCTTAGCCGATGAAAATTCACAACCTCATCAGTCGACTTGCTTGTCTTGCTTAGTATCTTTCGCCTAACCTCAACACTGCTCAGATTTACTTCCAGTTGTTTGTGTGCAAGATATGAGCGAAGGTATGCCGTGACGCTTCCCTGTTAGTTCATGAAGACGGATAAGATGAGGGCGACTATTCTGTTCAATGTAATGTTTTTCACAGTTTCTGCAGTTTATTTTGTAGATAATGTTTGGTTTGTCTCCCTTTGTTATTGTATCCTTTCGCCTGCATAACAGAGTGAGGAGATTTTATGGGCTTGTACGGTACAGGGATTCCGAAAGGGCTTCAATAATCTAGTCATGAACTCAGCAAAGTTTTTCATGTAGAGTAGGACAATTCGTTTGTTGGTTTTCAAGTCTGACGACGAATTATGCAAACATTTTTAGATGAAGTTGCGTGAATGGTCGTTCATCTGAAAAAAGTCATTAAATAGTTTTCTTTTCCCCTCAAAGTTCTCGTACTACATAGCCTTCGTCCTTTTGAAAAATGTTTTTATACAACTGATATTGTGTGCTGTTGGGTTGCAGCTATTGTAATTGAGGATTTCATCTGTATAAGATAGTTCTCTGTATACAATACACAAAATCAGTTGCCTTCATGCGTTTACTAATTCATCTGCTATTGTGGAGCTGGTCAAATAGACCGCCTAAAGGGTGTTTAATGCAAACGCATCTTCGTAAGATTATCATGCATGGCTATTTAAAGGAAAGTGCAGGGCTATTGATACTTCGATTCCTGAGCATCTGTGTAATTCTGGTCACTCTGAATCATGAGGATCTTCTTTCAAACCGTAACCAGTAGAAGCTTCAGCAGTTCTTAGATGACCTTGTGTTAACCTCTTAGGGATTATCAATTTGTGACTTTAATGACTGTTTCTGATGACTTTGTATTGACCTATTGGCTGTTGACGGATATATATTTTGTTGTAACTTTGACTACGATTGTACAACTTTTGAATTTTCCGTCAGCAAATTGTCACTCGCCAATTTCACATGCATAAAAGGGTTTAATCGTAAACTGATAGAAGTAAGAACTATAGATCACTAGATGCTGACCCGATGGCTCAATAGTAACGTGCTTGGCTGCGGGACCTGAAGGTACTGGGTTCGGTCCCTGGCAGGGTTGTGCATGAAAAGTGCTGCGGGCTACCATATTCAGACGAAACACCTTTTCAGAGCTAATAGGTTTCCGATGGGAGACATTAAGCAGCATCTCTGAAGTCGTAGCTTCATTGCTTCCAGTGTCCATTGTGGGAAACAGCGTAGCTGTTGACAGATATCTTTATTTCGCTGTCCAAACCAGAGTTTCAGAGGAACGATTTGGAGGCCATTTTTATCATTGCGCGATTAGGTAGCTTTCATATAATGGCCGTCACATCAAGCCTCTCTCGGCTGAGCTTGTTTGGATGAGTACGCATTTTGTGTTGCACTAGACCACTGCCCGTGGTAAAGTTCAGACTGCAGTAACTACAGCGACAACTGGCTGGTTGGGCTGCATGCGCCATTGTCTCAGGAGCGCACAAAAGTTGTCGGTTATCCTGCCAGCAGTCAGCAACGTTGTTTTCGATATATGACATGTTCATGCTTCGTTTATTATTATTATTATTTGTCCCGTTGGTTCCTAGTGGAACATAGGGATTCAGTAGCACGTCTCCATTGCACTCTCTTCTCTGCAGTCTCCTCAACATCGCTCCACCACTGCCCACAAGCTCTCATTTCTTCATCACACGACCTCCTCCATGTCACCCTCAACTAGGACGCCCAACTAGTCGTTTCCCATCTGGGTTCCACTCGAAGGTCTCGGTTGGCACGCGGTATCCCCAATCAGTCTTCTCAGTGTTTGCCCCTTCAATCTCCACTTCCCTCTGCATATTTCTTGGACGACAGCTTCTTAATTGGTTGGTTCGTTGCCAGCCAGCCAGCCAGGCAGCCAGCCAGCAAGAGTTCCACATCGCTTATTCCTATTATTCTCACCATCTCATCTTCAGTATCGAGTGAGTGTAGGCGAGAACTGTTGATGAATGTCTGTAGTTTGTTGGAAATGCTTTTCGAAACACATCAAGTCTGTCAACCATCACATAGAAGCACTGATTGACCTAACTGAATTAGTGTTGAAAATCCGGATCTTGTTCACGCTTTATGCTGAGTGCAGTAGATCTCCACACTGATTTCAGATTAATGACCAAAATAGAACACGTCAAATGTAGACTTCCCGAATAGGGTCTACATGATAAGAGAAACTAGTGGCTGGAGACTCTGCATAATGTACCAATGTGAGGTGTCGCAACTCGGACAGTTGTGCAGCTGTCTGATCCAACGTCTTGTCAGTAATATACGCTGTACAGTCTAAGTAAACTGTGGATCACAGGTCTAGGATCTCGAAGTTTAACAGTTGGGTGTCATGAGGTTTCAAACCCAGTTCGAGTAATCGAAGTCAAGACAACTCTATCCTATCATTGTTTACAGCTCCAATGCGTGGGTTGGTTACTGAGATTTTATATAGGTTTTTACAGTAGTCTAACATTTGTAGTCAATTCTATCGTACCCGCATGACTGTTATTTATGTGTGCATGAAATCATTGCTTTTTCAATGCTTTGAGAGCCTTTTTATTCAAAACGTCAATTTGTCTCCGCTGTTATTCTCGGGAGAGGGAGGAGAGAGACTTGTTATCCGATAGATATGTGCCTTCAGTTTGCAAAATTTACACTGTTTTGCTGTCATCAAACAATGACCTTACTGATTTAAGTGTATCTTCCGCCAGCAGCATCGTATTCAGTCTGCTATGGAACATGGTAGTAAAGTCAGTTGATAACCAACAAGAGAAGTTTAGCAAATACCAGTGGATTTCCGCAACTTCATCAGAGGACTCAATACAGCTGGCTGTGACCAGAATGATGACATGCGTGGTCAAGCCACCGTCGTCTATCTCAATGTGCGATGCTAACATGAGTTGGAAGAAGGCTCAGGGTGGTCAGACCAAGTAGTGCCTCACTTTTGGTCTGAGTCTGAGTTGCCTCTTGCGTTTCTCTTGGCAGAATCCTTATCCATTTCTGGTAAATCCCTATGATTTCTGCCGCTTTCTCAACATATACTACGCCCACTACAATACTACCTGGTTGCCCAAACCTCGAAGGCTGGAGCGGTCTTCGGACTCACAAGCCTTCGGTTGAAAGTAAACTCCGCAAACCAATAAGCCCAACTCCATAGTCAGTCAATCACGGCATATGGAGTCTTTAATGAACAAATGCATTGATATTGTATCAGGAGTCGCGAATGTTAATAGGATACTCTTCTCTTCCCTACTGTTACACATATACGTGTTTATATACATATTTATTCTTACCTCAGAACACTTTTTCGTCCCAATTAAACTGGATAATGTACAACACCAATTGTATAAATGATATGATGAATGACCATATGGTATACACATTGGTGCAAGAATTCGAAATAAACAAATCTCCACAGGACTCCATTCACCTGTAGCAACATGATTAGTCAACTGTTGTTTGTCAGTGAATTGACGAACACACCAGTGGCCACAATACGGGGCATCTGATTCTATAGATGAGAAATGCAACAATAAACAAGATGAAGAGGGAACTGAATGAAGGCTCCTCACCCCCAACAGCGGGGATACATTCACAAGTGAAGTGAATTTTTCATCAGTTGCACTGAATAAAATAAACCTACCAAGCAATACGCACATACACATTAAAGGATTTCATCGAATAATGGAATTCAGCCATTCAATCATATGAAAAAGGCATCAAAAAAGATGGTAGCAGGGACAAATTCATTCAAATGTTAATTAGATAGAGGCAATCGACTGGAAAGCCTGCTAGACACTGGTTTTGGGCTTGCTGGCACCCGTCAGTCAGCAGCGTGTATTTGCAACCTCAAGAGGAATGACGTCCTCCCTGTACGATCGCAACCCGTGTCAACCAGTGCTGTAATCATACACTTAACCACTGAGCTATTCGGGTCGTGATTGACATCATGTAGGACTGGACTACATACACGGATTGGTTACTCCATCAGTAACCAACTCCATGTTATATGATTCTGAGTGCTGATCGAATTCTATGGATCACTTCTGCTATTTGGTCACAAGGCTAGGCGACTCACCATCACGATATCCTGAGATAGGTCGAGGGCTCTTGGCTAATGGTCTCTATTCAGTTCATCCTGATGGTGTATCTGCTAGTCTTGTAACCATATTGCAAAATGACCTACAGAATTCGGCCAGCACACATAAGACTAGACAACATGAAGTTGGTTACTCTGCAGTGATTAGTCAATGGGCGAACTCATTCACTAAGCTGAATATTCATGTGAATGAACACAATAAAAATGATAGAACATTCCAGAATTATTTCCTACCAAAAGTCAAAATACACTGAATAAAAATAGGACGCCACGTGTAATACAACAAGTAGGAGTAGGAAGTTGAACAAAGGATTGAGAAAGTAACTATATACTTACGTTTAATGCATAGCAGTCAGAGTTTTATTATGTTAATGACAACGAACGTCAAGCGTGCTTTTTTAACTGAATACATAACGAATAAATACACATAGCATCGAAAGGGTTTCTCTTGTTGAATGTTGAATTCAGAATTCTAAAAATGACACCGCCAAAAGACAACTATCAATATCTTCAAGTAGAGCATAGTTTGGAAACATGTTCTCCTGCAAAAAAATGTTTTATTTCATATGTGAGTGATAAGCTAATGCCTTACGCTATATCAACGTGAGTATAACAGTTTACTTGCTGCTGCGGAACATAATACATCAAGTGTAGGGTGTAGCCATTTCTCAAACACCCACGAGAAGACTACTGAGTGATAAACAAAAGGGCAGAATGGAAATTCATCTTCAGAACTTTTCAAGCCAGTGAGAACTAGGTATTTGAGCATAGCTTGAAGCAGTAGCCATCCAGAAGTCGAAACCAGAGTTGAGTGTCCTATAATAAACGGACCGGGTTCAACCTTCTCTTTTCGTGTTATGACAATGGTCTGGATAAGACCTCTGCAACCCAATTACATTTATTTTCCTACTGTAAACCTTCATTAGTATTACGTAACTAACTTTTGTTATTGAATGTACTTTGACCATTGGTCAGAAATAATCCTGGAATGTTGTCATTTTTAATATAACTATCCACACGATTGTACAGCTTCATGAATAACTTCAGACAGATAGAATCAACGTAGAACCTTGTTCACGAGTAAATCAGTTACAGTTGTTACACACTTCATGATAGAAGGAAAAGAACAAGCGGATAGGAAAAGAGCGATATCAAAATAGACGAAGTTGTGCACGAGAATAAACAATCTGAAGATAATGGTTAGTGCAAATATTCGAGCATTAAAAGACATTGTCACCGATTTTCAGCCACTTCACCAACATTCGTCAACCACTCATCCCTTGTGTCTCGGAGACCCTAACTAGCCAGGTTACATCTCCGTTCGTGAACGGCTCACATCAACAATAAGACATTTTACTGACTGAATCAAACTTCCCCTTGATTAGTATCTAGGCAACACACGTCCAAGCTATCCAAGTCAACTAAGGTTCACAACTTCATCAATCCACTTCCCCGTCTTGCCTAGCAATCTTCATCTGACCTCAACACTGCTCACACGGCAGTGATTCTACCAAACGCGAGCAATGCTATAAATACATGGATGGTGAAAACCCGGACTGCCGTGCAGTATGCTCGTCCTTTGGTAGATAGTCAGATATCTCGTCAGTTCGCGCCACAGATGACGCAAGTTGGCAAATGCCCAGTAGGCCTTGTGTATCCAACCTGAGATCCCGTGAGCAACGAACATGTCCAGCCTGATGCAACTTTCCAAGTGAAAACGTCGACAAACTCAACCACTTCACTCCCTAACATTAAAGTAGAAGTACTTCATCTTCATCATCAATATCAACATGGGTCCAGGCATTACTGAGTAACGGTCCGAGTTACCACAGCTGATATCAGTAGAAGTACTTGTAGACCAATCGTAGACTATTATCTCACATTTGACAGATGAGAAATATATGTCAGCCAAGCATACTCAGGTTTCTGCTGACGGCGTTAACTCTTTTATTTTGTCTTTGTCGAAAAGCAAATCATTTCACTGAGTGATTGACAGAGCAATAAATTTCAGATCCTATTTATTTTCTTATTGATTTACTAACCCACATTAGTTGATGAAGTAATAGGCCAACGGTGACTCCACATGGATGGAGTTGACTTGTACGGATGCAAAGCACAATCATACTTGAAGCATCTTCGACAAAATAATGTCCGAAAGGAATGCAAAGCTTCAGCTCTTGTCGGGATTTGATGACGACCACTATTAATAGCATTCAACACCTCAACAGGATTGTCTAAATTTGGACAGCATGTAAGCGCTTCTTCGTTTAGCTAAAACAACACGAGATATGAAAGAAAAGAGAAAAATTTCTGTTTAGAATAAATAAAAGATGAATCAGGTGAAGGAATATATTTCTTTCCATGCTTGTAATTCTCCGTTGATTAGCAGATCCGAACTGGTCTACTTCTGTTGGCAGATGGGCTCCTATGACCTGTATGGCAACGGGAACTTACAAGTAGTAAACAACAACTGATACTCATTGCACAAGAGTTGCCTTTCATGGCGCCAGTCCATGAAGTCGTATACTGCTGGTCGGATTCGTATGGGGAGATATATACTGCTTGGTTGGGGTCCCCGAGAGGAAAGGAATGAATGTTTATGGACTGTCGGTGAAGTGGTTGAAAATCGGTAACAATGGTGCAAACGCATTCACTCCACAACTTTGAGACAGAGTTTATATATTCCTAACTTTCTATCCTTCTCTGTGATGACGAGGATAGTAGAATTTTCCATATATCTGGGACAGGTGCAGAATCATTCCTATTACTAAATGTATTTGGTGTTGAATCGATAAACAAAGATTTGGTTATCAATCTCTCCTTCCACCCAAGTTAGTTTTGAATACTGTCGCTCCAACTCTATTGTGTCCAATTGCGCGCAGAGCTATAGCCATGTTTATCTCTGAATTTCTCATCTTATTAGGATCTACTTATCTTGACTAAGCTAAAATCTTGTGCTCGGATAGCTTAGTTGACCTTGGTCAACTTACGTATTGCAAGGGATTTGGTAAAGTTAATTGTTCTGCCTAATTAGATCAATATGATCTTTCAACTTACAAAGCTTGTTTCTAAGCGAGTTTGTTTCGTTTCAATGACACTTAACACCCTGCCTTATTGAGAATTCCTCATAATGCTTCTCAGGTGCCTTCTTTGTGTGGTAACACAGTGGAGGCATTGAATTCTCTCTCGACCTTGTCATCACCATCATTACTTTTATCAGTAGAATTATTACTAATAACACATGTGTTGTTGCTACTACTACTGCCAATATTCTTCTTTCGACTTCTTATCAATTTATTCAGAAATTTCGATGAGTAATCATTGAGACGCAAGGTACTCTTGATGTGTCTAATTCTTGTCGCAGAGTTTCTTTCCTACTAGTAAGCTTTCTCACCCTACTACTTAGACATTTAACTCAGCCTACTTTAACTGAGATGGGGTAAGATGATTTGAAGTCTAAGTGGTGATTCAAATAGGGGAAACTTTATTATATATACTAGTCTCTAAACTTCAATCTTGTTCTCGTTTAATCTTGCAATCCAACATTGTTACCTCACCTTCATCACTTTCCAAGTCATAGAAGAGATTGAAAACCGAATGAACACGAAAAAGATGTATACAAATGATTTTACCGTGTCCTAGATATACCGAAAATTCTACCACCCATATATCATAAAGCAGGTGAGAGGATTGGAACCACATAAACCATGTCCCTAAGTTGGGAAGCTACCTGATGTGAGTATTGACAATAAATTATGTCCAAAATGTTATCTAGTGAGTAACACTAACTATCTCACTGTATGATAAGTCGAATAAACAGATGAAAATGGAATTGCAACATATCTAGGTGCCCAAGTTTTATATAGATAAGTTTCAAATTGAAGACGAAAACACCATTTTAGTAAGTAATAGGTTAATTAACTGAAATAATTACAAATTAAAAAAGTTATCCTGGAGTCATAGATTACACTGCTGGTCAATTTCCATTGTTGATATCGAAATCGAAACTGCCAGCAATATCGAGGCATCCGCACACGAGCCCATACATATATGTCAAAACTGGCGGATCAGTTCGTTCCAATCGACGACGGAGAATTTTACAAGTTATAACACGAAAATTATTTCATACCCATCGCACAAGCAATGGCTATCGTAAATCACTGGCCTAGTGGACAATACTGTGGCGTTTGCAACGACCAGTTCCGGGTGCAAGTCGTCGTGGGGACAACACTCACTAGGAGGTATGTAAATCCAGCTGGGGACTGAGTCTCAAATTGGAAAAAAACACGCATCTTGAATTCCACTGTTGGCTACTATGCATCCCTAATATGAAAGTTATTAGTTTGACAGTCTGAGCTAACCGTGAGTTCGCAGACCTATATTATTATTATTATTGAATGGTAATTGTAAGTCTCTGGTTTGAACCCCGCCACGACTCTGATTTCCGTTTCACCCCCAACCATCACTTAGTATCAAATTTAAAGCTACCTATGCGGTAGTTACACAAATTTCATTCATTGTATAAAAACTGACATGAAAGTTGAGAAAAAACTCGATGCAAGTAAACACAACAACTCGGTGTGCACAAGTGTCTAGCCAAAGATTGGATGGTATAGGATAAATAACTGTAAAAGCTTTGCTCGCATTCACATCATGACCTGAGTCCATCAAGTGTACAAGCACTAAGGTTTTTACTGCCACGCTGAATTGTATTCAGATATTCTACTGTGAGCTTGCCTACTTGAATGCTCTATGTAACTGGCTCCACAACAGCAAGCAAACTGATGAATGTACATAGAACAGGTAGAATCAGGAGGAAATCTATTTTATACCTTGCAACCATTAGTGGCCGATTGTAGATAGACCGTAACTTTGCTTTCGTCTGCTTCATACGCTTGGACATCTATTCAGCGCGATATTCATTCCTATTAAGCAGCCTACATTAAATGTAAAGCCACTCTTCTATGGTCTCATCAGAGTAAATTTCGTTTGCATGAGGAACCAAGCAATTCACCAAGTTTCTTTTCTATCTCTACGAAGTAGTGACAGAGCTAAAGGAGAGAATGAACTGGCCAGTCGATATTGGCTTTCTGTATGCACTACGTTTTACCGTTCCTTCTAGTATATAAGACACCTCCATAGTGCACATCCCACAAAACAGCCAGGGGTCAAACCAAGCCCTTCAGTCGCTATTTTGAATTCAGCATTTTATCACTGCAACATTATGATGGTAACTGCTTTTCGTCTTACCACAAGGGAACAAGCGTTCCTGCCAGTATAGTTCGATGGGTCATTGTGATGTACATACCCGACCACAACATCGTGTCAAGGTAGCAACTGTCGGTCGGGTCATTCCTTCTTCCTCTCTTTTACTACTTTCTACTACTTTTGACCGATTCTCCTATGTTACTTATTGTGCTGATATGATGAGGTGTGACAACATGAACTGGTGTACAGTAATGCCTGATCCTGTGTTGATATCGATGATGATGGTATTGATTCTAATAGTAATGAATGTAAAGCAATAAGATGGACCAAAGTAAACACATTTCACTATTTCCAACTGTGAATAGACTGCTAGAAAATGGAAATTGTCAGAAGAAACTAGCTTTGGGAGGCTACGAAACACTAAAGAACTCAACCGCCTAATTTACTCAGGTTTCATCAGATATCCATTTTCGACGAGCCAAGACAAAATGAACAAGTATATATCAGCCAGATACTTCACTCCAAACCTTGCAGTACATAACGTCGGTCATAGTGACGACTCATCATGCCACCAACTGCTGCTTCATCAAATGAATGTTTTTTGTAAAACCTTTTTCACAGGTGGCTGGAAAATTTCCTAAGTTAACCAAAAACCCAGTAATACCTGTAACCCCCAATACACACACACACACACACACAAACTGACAGCTGCTACTTACCTGGGAGTTATTTCCACGTTCTTTCAATTCCACATACCGTAGTTTCAGTTTATTAGAATCCTCTGAAGAGCCGAATGTTCCAGCTATGGCCTACAAAATAAACAAATCAAGTTGAGGATTCAATTTCTCGTATTTTATGTAAACAGTGAAACAACAATGGTATACACTGCTTAAGTTGTTCAGTAGTAGTAATATCTCTCTCCAGATTCAGGACACTTTTTTGTCAGAGATCACAGTTTGCCATCTTTGCTGAGCGGTTAACAACAAAAACCCTGTGGACACCACTGTTAAGGGGAGCGGGAGTTGAAAAACTACTCAGCTGTAACAGATACGTCAACATGGACTGTGCACACTTTGTAGATCATTGGCGAATTGATCATCCTAAACAGCAGAGTTGTTTGTCGAAAGAATAATTACGTATCATGTGATATCGTCAGTGAAATAACCAAAACGTGTCACGTAGCATAACTTATCGCATGTTAAGAAGTACACTATGTAACATTTATTTAATGTTATTGACTTGGCTACTCATAAGTAATTAGAAACGTTTGCCACGCTTTCTTCCGATTGGCTGTCTGTTTTGGTATACGCACTCGATATTTTCTGATTGGTCAAGATAATGTGTTGACACTATACCATATTGAATTTGGCAATGACAACTTTGGACGGACCGTTGTTTGCTGACGATGAGAACAGAAAATCAGATTCAATGTGTTGAAAATCATTAATGCATCCTGGACAGTTCCATCTGACACGACAGGATGTTTTATCAGATAGGTAGATTGAGGTGAGGAGGACAAGTTACGTTAGATTGCGTGTTTAGTATTACTCGAAGCGTGCGGACAGTTGACACTTCTAAGCTGACCACACCACTGAAGGCTATTTCTTCCTAGGGTACCTGAAAGAAAAAAAGATTTGTGTGGTCACAGAGCCCACAGGACATCTTCTTGAAACCTGTCACAAATACAGTCTTTCCAAGATTGTTGATGCGAGATTTGATCGTTGTAACGCCGGACAGAGAAAACCCATGCCACTGGAACAGGAAGACCATGAGCAAGAGAGCAGTGTACTGTCCCTAGGGCCCACCTTTTAGAACCCCCAATTCTCATAGGGGCAGCACCAGTGTGGCACTGCTGGTCATCTGAAGGAAACGCCTTACTGCTGTCACGTTCGCATTCAGCCAACAGTACGACATCACCCTCAAACCCTCATCATAGTGTAGCAATTTACACTACAACAGTGACTATTTTTCGTCTTGCTACTATCGAAGAAACAAGCGTTCCAACCAGTGTAGGTTGTTTGGTCATTGTGGCATACAAGCCTAATCGCCAGGTTATATCAGGGTAGCAGCCATTATATTAAAAGTAGGAGACATAAAACAGTTAGTTTCTCGACCATAAGTGTCTTCGTAGCCCTGCTGGTGTTTGATGGAATCATCGTGTGAGCAACGTTGAGGTCAGGCGAAGTGTACTAGGTAAGACAATCAAGTCGATTGATGAGGTTGTGAACCTTCAACTGAGATGGTTTGGATATGTACAACGCCTGTAGAGCCACCGTCAACCCAAACGTGGCATACTAGAGGAAATGAAATTAAGATAGAAAAGGGTTCAAGGTGGTCAGATCAAAACATGGCAACAGTCGATGCAGTCCTGATTGCTGACTTGAGCCATATGAGGAGATGTAGACTGCCTGGTTGAGGTCGCCGAGACGAAAGGAATTAGTGCCTGAAGATTCTTGGTGACATGCCCGAAAATTGGTCACAGTGGCTGTCCTATTCACTCCTTCACATCTTAAGTTTGAGTATTTGCACTAACCTTCATCTTCAGGTTGTTTATTCTCTCACACTACTTTATCTACTTTGCTATCACTCCTTTTTTATCCACCTGTTCTTTGTGTAACACTGTGAAGTGTAGCAACTTGAGGCGATGCATCTATGTGCGACGTTCTAGGTAGATTCCGTCAGGCAGTCAGTAGATATCACACCCAAGAGTTTTCATGAAAAGAAAGAAGCAGGCGATAGAAAGTTTACGTCTATATTATTTTAAAAGCATTTTCTACGTCTATCACACAACTTTTCTAGAGAGGTTGCATAATCATTGACAGAAGACATCTACGAACACAATGATTAAATGACCCCTTGAGCAAATATTGCAGGGTTATTAGAACTTACAGAGAACACTCCTTCCGGAATCCCAGTACTGCTTAAACGCCTAGTCTCAGGTGATGAATTAATATCATCAGCGTCACTTTGATGCGAATCAACAGAGTTTCTAGTTCGTTGACTTATAACAATAATTGGTTCACACTGATTGCCTTGTACAGTTATTTTGTCTTCATTATCACTACTTTTCACTGTTTCTTGACGATCAGAATTATTAAGGTTAATACTTGGAGGCGATACAACACCATTGCTACGAGTTACCTGTAAAAACAAAAGAAGGCCGTCTCATAAATTAGGCTATCGATCACACTATAAGCGTTTAACGTACACGCCAAAAAAAAAACAAGTTAACAGTAGAACTGATAATTAACATGATTTTCGATAGCGTAATTGGAAGACGAAGTTTATCTGAACAATGTGTATGATATATTTGCGCAGTACATCTCGAACAATCTGATCACAAACATTTACTTGTCTAGCCAATTTATATTGAACCGACGAGTGGGAGGACAAATACAACAATTAACATAATAGGGGATTAAAATTAAGAAAGATGAGAACAGAAGAGGAGAGTGACACAGTTGATCCTAATCTTGGTAAGAAAACAAACTTTACCAAGGTAGGTGTGGTGTGCTCTAACGAATTGGTTTTGTACACATAAAGGTGGTTTCAATTTGTGTATGGCTATGGCTTCCACAAATCTCAGAATACATCCCTGACTGGCTGTTTATATATACAACTTTGAAAGCTGTTTGAACACTAACTTTGTGACCTGCTTCTATGAAGTTTGGCTATAGATGTAGGGGGTTGTCACCCACCAGCGTCTATCACCACTTCACACTCCATTTGTTTTTAAAGCCACTAAGGTACATATTCTCCCACCCTAAATTGCATGACTCGATTACTCCTCCCTATGTATGTGTGACAACACACACGTGTAAATTGGTAAAAACAATGGGATGTGACGTAGTCATTGATGCAGTGTTTAGGTTCGTGGTGAATTATTATTATATTATTTGTCCCGTTGGTTCCTAGTGGAACATAGGGATTCAGTAGCACGTCTCCATTGCACTCTCTTCTCTGCAGTCTCCTCAACATCGCTCCACCACTGCCCACAAGCTCTCATTTCTTCATCACACGACCTCCTCCATGTCACCCTCAACTAGGACGCCCAACTAGTCGTTTCCCATCTGGGTTCCACTCGAAGGTCTCGGTTGGCACGCGGTATCCCCAATCAGTCTTCTCAGTGTTTGCCCCTTCAATCTCCACTTCCCTCTGCATATTTCTTGGACGACAGCTTCTTAATTGGTTGGTTCGTTGCCAGCCAGCCAGCCAGGCAGCCAGCCAGCAAGAGTTCCACATCGCTTATTCCTATTATTCTCACCATCTCATCTTCAGTATCGAGTGAGTGTAGGCGAGAACTGTTGATGAATGTCTGTAGTTTGTTGGAAATGCTTTTCGAAACACATCAAGTCTGTCAACCATCACATAGAAGCACTGATTGACCTAACTGAATTAGTGTTGAAAATCCGGATCTTGTTCACGCTTTATGCTGAGTGCAGTAGATCTCCACACTGATTTCAGATTAATGACCAAAATAGAACACGTCAAATGTAGACTTCCCGAATAGGGTCTACATGATAAGAGAAACTAGTGGCTGGAGACTCTGCATAATGTACCAATGTGAGGTGTCGCAACTCGGACAGTTGTGCAGCTGTCTGATCCAACGTCTTGTCAGTAATATACGCTGTACAGTCTAAGTAAACTGTGGATCACAGGTCTAAGATCTCGAAGTTGTCTGTCTTGCTATCTTTCCGATCCTGGCTTTGATGTCCTCGTCTGTGCCGCCTGTAGTTGAAATGGTGCTGCCTAGATAGGTGAAAGAGGCTACTTCCTTTAAGTTTCTCCCGTTGACGGTGATTGGAGCTTGTTGGTGTTGGTTGGGTATCTCTATCACCTCTGTCTTCTCTACGTTCACCTGAAGGAAGTCCCGTCTTCGCTGCCCTACCTTTTCTGTCAACTTGTTGGATTCTGCCTGTAGATCTTCGAGTTTGTGCGACAAGACATTAGACATCAATGATCATCATTGGCGAAAACCAAATGATCTACGATCTTTTCCCCGGTCCAGCGTATCCCCCTACTCTCGCTCCTCACTGTTTGTTGCATGATCCAGTCGATCACAATGAGGAAAATCATCGGTGACGATAGTAGGCGGCAACCTTGTCTTACTCCTGTCTCCTGTCTTCACTTCAAAGGCATCACTGAGCTTCTCATTGCACTGGTTTATCTTCTGCTTCACCATCTTCCTCTCCCTCCTCTATCAGCTTCCAGTTATCCGCCGAGATCGATTCCTTGTCTTCTTTCTTCTTCCTTCCTAACACGGTTATGCAGGTTTCTTTCAACATCTCTTTCAAAGAGTCCAGTGTTCATCTACACAGGTTTCTCTAGGGATGTTGCTCGATATCTCCCATTTTGTCTTGATGGCTGGCTGCCGTGAAGATTTCCTTTGTAGTTTTGTCTTTCAAGTCAGTTTCTGTTCTGGGTGTTGAACTTGAACTGTGGTCTATCACCAACTTCTTTGAAGGCTTTCAACTTGATTTTGAATGTTCCTTGCACTGGATAGTGGTCTAAACTTACATCTACTCCTCTTCTTGATATTGTGTTAGGTAGGCTGCGTCTCCACTTTCTTCACACCGAGATAAAGTCGATCTGACTTTTAGTGTGTCTGGTAAAACCCATGTCGCTTTGCGGAAATCCTTGTGCATGAACACACTGCCTGACTCCAATCACCAAGTCGTTGAATGCACAGAATTCTGCAAACCATTCTCCATTCTCGTTCATCACCTCACCGAGCGCTTCTCGACCCATGGTAAGTTCTCTTCCTGTGTTGTCTGCTCCCAGTTTGGCATTCATGTCGCCCATTAGGATTTTGATATCGCCAACTTGAGTGGGGTCTTGTCCAGTGTTGATTGCAGTTGTCTGTAGAATTCCTCCTTATTCTCTTCATCTGCGTTATTTGTAGGTGCGTGGCGTAGCATTGTATGATTGTGACCTTCCTTTCTTTTGAGTTGAACCTTGCTGTCATGATCCTGGAGGAGATTGGTTCCCACTGCATTCGAGAAAGCCTACGATGCTGTTGGGGACATCATGATAGCCACTCCCTCAGTGTGCTCGTGGTTGTCGTCTTGGGGACAATTTCGGAGTAGATTATTGACTCTCCAGTTGACAGTTTTGAGAGTTCACTTCCATTTCACCTACAGATTCCTAGCACTTCGATACTATACCTTCTCATCTCATTTGCAATCTAGGCAGCCTTGCTAGGTTTAAACATGGTGCGGACATTCCATGTCCCCACGTTTACTTTCGCTTTTATCTTGAGGAGCGAAGACATATCGGCCAATTGGCTTACCGAAGGCTTTCATCAACTGGCATCATTTCATCCTTCCAATTCCAGAGATGAATGAGTTTGTTTTTATGTTTTATATTTTGTCTTTGAAGTTTGTTTAGCGATTGGATTGGTTTTCTGGGGTGGGGTTACTAGCCGTATGCCCAGCCTTCCCTCTTTATCCGGGCTTAAGACCGGCTAGTAACTAGTTAACTAGTTAACCAGGCGAGGTTAGGTTAGTGGTGAAGCATGTTTTTTTCCCTCAATGATAAGATTAGCTGCATAATTTATTTTCTTTAATGGCTGATGTCAGACCACGTCTCAAAATGATACTATTCTACTCCCCTCTGTATGATGGAGTGTTATGGACGCTTTTCTTAGGAACCGTGTCAACAGTTGGCTTCGGTGCTACTTGACCTCTACAACAGTTCATCAACTTCATCGGACATCCATTTACCATAAGTGTTTTGGTCAGTAATTTGATATCTTCATCCGTCGTATCTGTTGCACTGATACGATAGATCCTATTAAACAGGCATTCTACAAGACCTCCCTTGGATTGGACAAAATCTGTGAAAACTCAGGTATTGTAGTGTCCATGTTAGCTAAACTTGTAGCTAAACATATCATAGAAACAGGTCACAAAGTTAGTGTTCAAACAGCTTTCAAAGTTGTATATAGAAACAGTCAGTCAGGGATGTATTCTGAGATTTGTGGAAGCCATAGCCATACACAAATTGAAACCACCTTTATGTGTACAAAACCAATTCGTTAGAGCACACCACACCTACCTTGGTAAAGTTTGTTTTCTTACCAAGATTAGGATCAACTGTGTCACTCTCCTCTTCTGTTCTCATCTTTCTTAATTTTAATCCCCTATTATGTTAATTGTTGTATTTGTCCTCCCACTCGTCGGTTCAATATAAATTGGCTAGACAAGTAAATGTTTGTGATCAGATTGTTCGAGATGTACTGCGCAAATATATCATACACATTGTTCAGATAAACTTCGTCTTCCAATTACGCTATCGAAATTAATAAAAGGGACTAACTGTTTCAAATTAACATGATTGATTGAAATATACCACTAAGACGCACAAAAAAGAAGCAGCAAACAAGATCAAGGATACATTGCTTTTAGTGATTAACAATTCTTAATCTTTGATGACATAAAATCAAGCTATTTACTCACTCAGACAGACAAAAAGATAGATAATACGATCAATGACCAGTAATTACCGCGTAGCGGTTCCAGAAATAAGGGCGGCAGAGATGAAAAGTAGTCTGAAGTCATCAAAGAGGGAAACAAAGAATAAGAGAAATCTGAAGTGTAATATGACGATTTTAGATGAAGATTAGGTGTGAAAGATACATCTGTGTAACTGAGTCATGCCATCACCTAGAGTCTTAAACCACTACTGGTTTCGGTTTTCATGCATACGCCAACCAGAAAGCTTACTTTTCCCCTCATGGCTCAAACCAAGAGTCAAAGACTTCGTGAACTGATGTCATGCTTTAGTCTGAACACCCGTAGACGTCTTTAATAGTGAAGCTACTTCAGGTACCATTGTGGGCTAACACAACCTGAACCACTGACGGTCCTCTCATCCCTGAAACTTTACGCCTGATGTCTAAGTTACTGAAGACACGATGCCATGACGGCACACAGACTATGCTACGAAGACAACGATGGTCGACAAAATGAAGTCCTTACACTCCATCTACCTTTAATGGTCACGTCTCACAGTCATATAGTGTAGCAGGGTGAACTGTAGGCTTTCACTCATTAAATAACAGTTATTTGCTCATATGATGCTCCAACGTGACATGAATAACGACAGAAAAATGACTTCTGAACATGGTACTTAGCCGACACCAGAAGAAGAAGACAATAAGATTGAAGGTATATTAACTTAAATCAAATGGTGCGATTAATCGTTAGTATTCTTTTTTAACAGCCTTGATCAGAGAAAACAAAATAGCATTTTAGGAGTGTGAAATGAAGCAATCAGCGTTCAGTATCTTAAAACTGAGGCAAAAATAAGTAACAATGCATGGAGCGAAAGAAAGGTTTATATTTTACGATGAAAATATACGCATATTATAATTTAGTCTATTTACAGACAAGGCAGCTTCATTACTTTCTTGCAGTAAACAGTTAGCCCCAGGTTTTATGATACCCCATATGACTTCCGAAACCTGATGTTGTGAACCTCTATCGATTCAAGTGACTGGAACACGCATGCCAAGTCACCAATTATTTTGTCGCACAATATTAACTGAAGTAGGTTCAGGCTGGAGAAAAGTTGAAGGAGTCACACTAAAGCATGGCATTACTGTAGGAAGTCTTTGACTGCACATTCATGCAGTAGGCCACACATACCTCACCTGACTTCCGGAACCAGGGCAAGTGAAGTTGGGTTCGAACGCGTGACTCACTCTCAGACAAATTTATCCGAGTTATACTTCCTATGGTCCATATAAAACCAACAAGCAAAAGAAAAACAAGAATCGTTCTTTTTTACCTCAACGTCGGTGATTTCAATCTGTGCAGAACGACGACGAGTAAGACGACCTCTCTTCGCAATCTGTATATCCTCGGCATTCTCTTCATCTGATGGTTTATGTCTTTTTAAGCGTCCATTACGTGGACACATGGATCGATTTGAAGCATCTGAAGCAATAGCGATATTTGATGTTGATGCAGAGTTTTTAGCATCTGGCGTTAATTCATTTTCCAGCAGTGAGCTTCGGCCTACTTCACTGACTACCACCGCATCAGTTGTTTGTTTTGTTAGAGGTAGACCACACTGTCCAATAATATCTGACCACGATTTAGCCACTGCATCGACTAATTGTACCAGAAGGGATTCATCAAATTCGAACGGGAAATTTCCGTGCAATCGACCATCATAGTTGTTCAAGAGTTCTTCAAGAAAATTTACATCCTCTTGTGCATGTTCATCCCCCATATAGGGTAGATTTGCTAGTTCTGTTTCATCTTCAACGGAAAAGTTGTGCTGAACAGGCGCCCACATACAAGCAGACGGTACAGGATCAATCTACAGAAACAGATGGGAAAGAATGACAGCAAAACATAGTATCATCCACCATCTTGAGTCGTGGATAAATGATAGCAAATAACGTACAAACAACCGCAATGAAACAGACAAGTTGTGAATATGCATAAATGCGAACTCACTACCTCGGCTAATCAGAAAGCAGCCTATGTGTGAAAAACAAAAGATAGCTAATCAGAAGCAAGGGAAGTACTGTATATATATATATATATATATATATATATATATATATATATACAGCAACAAAAAAGCATCAGTTACTTATAGGTACAAAAAGTGTGTATGCTCACTTCCGGCATCATAGTTACAGCCACACTGTAAGATTTGCCGTCAATTCGAGCTTCAAATCTACCAAACTGACTGTAGACATTTGGGATTTCTACGGGTTCAGCTAATATAGGTGGATCAGTAGAATTTGTAGTGTTCGACCATGGTTCATTATACAAAAGGGAACGGGCAGCAAAATTGGCGGCACGCGCAGAATTCAGTTGTTCAGCTAGTAGTTTTCGATTTTTGACATCAGTTCACAAACATTATTCCATTTTGATGCTGAATTAGCGCATCGAACACGATTGTATACCTCACGAATCATTGTTTGCAAACGACGCCGACGTTCACACGGCGGGTAATAAAGTCGAGTCGAGTTTGTAGGCCGCTGTTGCCTCAATGAATTTACACGACGTTCACGGGATTCACACACTGGAATTGTCTCATTTGAATTGGATCTATTGTTTTTGTACGCATCACGGGTTACATAAGACGATCGACGAAGCATCTGGAAAAGAAGTTTACCAATTAGGCTACACACAAAAAAGAATGTAAATGACGAAAAAATCAATTACTCATAACTTATTTCCACTAGCTGGGATTGGAAGAGTCAAAACAGAGAACAAGACTATTTGGAGTGACTTCAACGGCCACCATAACAGCTGCCGAAATAACTAATTGGATTTCATGATTTTGTGCAAGACTGCCTCCTCAGTTGAAATACTGAAACCTGATTGGTCATTTTAAGTTGCCAGGATGGCCTTTAAAGTAGTCACTCGACTATTTGTGGAGAAAACAGAGAAAACGCGACATAGAGGTTTAATTTGACACAATCAACCCCCTCAAGGAATTTGAATATAGCAATGAAAGTACTAGTTTGGTTTTCATGAGCTACATTGTTTTTTGGGAAATGTAGCGTTTTCTCGGATCAGTAAAACATTAACTGGTATCTGAGAACGGTAGCTAGCTCGCTCTCCTCAAACATAAGGTATATTCTTATTTAAAAGTGATTATTTACTTATTTTTTATCCAGGTCTTCGTATGCAGTTGACGAGAACCGTAGGAAATAAGATGCGTTACCGAAATGCAAGCAGGTTCACACTGAATGTAAGGACAGACAGATAGAGAAAATCAACGCAAAACCTCGCATACAGACATGTGTCAGTTCAAGTCTCAATACTTCGTAGCACAGTAGCATCCAAAGAACAAGTGGGTAGAAATAGACTGATACTAAAGTACGCGAAAGTGTATTGGAGGAGGGAATATGAAAACATGAAGGTCAGTAAAGAACATTCAAGCTTTAGAAGACGTCAATGTTCGAATACATCTGCACCATTGCGGCCGATTTTCAACCGTCATCAAGAGTTAGTCCTCAACCACTGGTTCTCATGGTCACGGGGGTCCCAGCCAGGTAGTCGACATCTCCCTCCCTACACTGCTTGAACCAACAGTTAAAGACTTCAGGGACTGGTCCTATGTCTTAGTCTGGCCAGCCTAATTCAGTCATATAAACTGTTCCAGCTTCCCAAAACCAATCGTAAAACAGTAGACCAACAGTCATAGCAGTGAAGAGTTTGTTGAAGTACAAAAAAGAAGACAGAACTGAGTTCATATATCCTTGACCTTAGATCTTAAGTTGTTTTAAAAATAAACAGCAAATGTAGATATTATTGTTGGATAAGACACTTGTAGTGCGTAAGCGACAGAGTAGGACTCAAATCTGTTACCTTGTTATTTTACAAAAAATCTCAGAAGCCTAATTCCGCAACTTAGAAATTCACACACCTACCCAGATATTTGTTGTAGACCTTATATCATCATTGTGAAGTGTACGCAACAGCACAAACGATGTACACATGTTGCGAAACGAGAAAGCGAGGCTGAGGGGGGATGACTATCTGGATATTGACCACAAATAAACGAACATTGTGAAGTACTCATCTCAGTGACTAGTAGTGGAATCCAGGATACGCATTTCGTCCTATTTAGGACTCATCAGCAGATGTGCCTGTACTCCAATGAGTGTTTTTGCCTCAGAGACTTAAACCCAGTAACCATCGCTTCAAACGCCAAAGCATTATCCACGAGGCATCCGCATAGGAGCCCATCTGCCAATGGAGGTCGAGTGATTTGACCCAGTATAGCGACGGGAAATTACAAGTATCAAATAAGAACATACAACGGGAAAATCCAATACACACATCCCTTGGTAAATCACAACAAAATAAGAAAATGAGAACAAGTGGTTCAGTGAAGAGGCTCTCTTCGGTGATCTTATTCACTGAAATGTACAATCGCACTCATATAAAAAACTTTTGCTGTTGGTGAGAATGTACAATTTGTTTGGTGTGGCTACTGGTCGAAAGGGGAACTTAATTATGTCCCCAGGTATTCGAATCTGAGAGTAATTACGGCCTAGAATCTTTATCAAAAACGGATCTCCATACTGGTTATGTCATATGAACCTAGATTTCAAAACTGATCCAACAGCTGACATCCTGAAGATTGCGAGATCCCTGAAGAGGATATCCTTCACAAAAGCTTTGTGAGAAGCATTCTCAAGTCCCTCTTTACTTGGTAATAAGCTGAAAGACAAGACCTCGCATCTGATTACCTATATGTTTATCAGTTCACCTGCTCCGGTGGAGCTGGCTATGTTCGTCGTTCGATTCTGTTCAAAAGCGTTCAAGAACACTATTTTGCGTGACTACCAAGAAGTAGCAGAGTATCTGTAAGAGGTGCAATAACGGAACACCATGTCGACACTGATCGTCCAACCTCAACAAACATTTCTACAAGGAAAAAAGAAACTAGCCGAAGCCAGTACGCATCTATTGCCTCCGTCGTGTTGCAATGAGAATAAGAGCCAGAACTTTGCATGGAGAAGAGACTAGTTCAAACCTTGCTCCATGCACTGTCTCAATCTTTAGCGTTCCAAAACATCGCCTCCCCTCCTTCTAATCCTTTCCTTTCTTAAATATTATCAACTATTCCCTGTTTCCACTTACTCACCTTGATAACAATTTATTCATCAAACCTTTCTTATGTTACTTATCAACTCAATATTTATCACCTTTACTAATTTTCTATGTCATGAGCGATCCTCATTAGTCTCCTTAAGCGACTTTGCAATTCAACATGGTGACAACTTAATTGTTCTCGTTATTAAGCTTTTTGATTACTTTTCAACAGTTTGTTTACGTGTATTGCTCAGCTTGCTGGTGCGCCTAACGAACGAGCTCCAATTTCAAACAAACACGTCACAAACGAAATTTTACATTCTCACCAAAAACAAAAATTTTCTATATAAATTCAATTGTTTACAGCTAGATAAGTGAAATCGCCAAGAAAGCTCTTCGCTGAGCCATTTATTTTCCTTTCTGGAGGAAAACTTCAGGATGAAAAGCATGAAACAAGTTATGTGCGTATGTATGTATATATAAGACTGGAATTCCCAATCAAAAAGTCACGTTTCCGAACTATATGTGTATTATCGAGATTGTGATAATTTACTTTATACATGAGGGTTCGTTTATTCTGAGATGAGAATGATAAATTTCTTGTTGTTGACGAATATACAATATCTGATGATACTAGTTGCCATCTTTCCTTTCTTTTTTGGGTTCCTTTTAGTTCGCACGACGTCGTTTGTTGGCTATCTGTCTTCCACCCTTGAAAAGAAAACAGGATAAATGCAGTTACTATTAGTGAACAAGGGGCATAAAACAAACAAAAATATGTTGCAAATATAGGTGACTCTATTTACAGTGGAGATGAAGATGATGATGTCTAGAGCGCCACGAAACCACGGTCCTAAGTTAAATTACTTCAATCCAGCCTGGTAACCATTCGCACGCATATACTGTGTGATACTAGCTAGTTTCTCGAACCTTGATAGATGACCACGCATGGTCAGGATACGCACACAGTCCATTGATAGGGAATTTAGTGTCTATCAATGAAAGACAACTTTGAATGTCATTAAGAACACCACCACAAGGGCCTGGGTCATCATCACCAATATCAACACAGGATCAGGCATTACTGTACACCAGTTCATGTTGCCACACCTCATCATATCAGCACAATAAGTAACATAGAAGAATCGGTCAAAAGTAGTAGAAAGTAGTAAAAGAGAGGAAGAAGGAATGACCCGACCGACAGTTGCTACCTTGACACGATGTTGTGGTCGGGTATGTACATCACAATGACCCATCGAACTATACTGGCAGGAACGCTTGTTCCCTTGTGGTAAGACGAAAAGCAGTTACCATCATAATGTAAATTGCTACGCTGATGGGGATCTTACAGCGAAGTCGCACTACCGACTGGGTGGAAGTGATACCATAAAGGTGTTTCCCACCAATAAAAACCAACGCTTTGCTGATGGTACCTTTCTTATGGGAAGGTGAGGGTTAGAAGAGGTCAGCCTAAAAAAAATAACACATCTCCGTCACCCCATGGAATCCGGATGCCTGCGACAAGGATTCATTTTAGAATTCGAAGGCAAAACACTAAAATCCCAAACTTGCAAAAAGGTCGCGTGTGACCGGCCTGTAGTAGGTGGTCCATGGTCACGCACTAACCTCTCATTTTCAGACACCTCAAGGAGAACTAGTTTTCCACGCTGTGGACAGCTGGGAAGTGTCAGCCACCCGTATGCTTCCAATAGTATACAAAATCCAATGCAGGAGAGATGAGAAAATCCCGATTTACTCAGCAAAGGGAGTAAAAGCCTAGGTTTGATCCTCGTGGGACTGTGAGGAGCGCACTGTTGAAGATTCCAATATACTAGATGAGAATATCTGCACATATCGCCTCCAGGTCATCAGAAGTTCTCCAACGGATTTCATTCTGCGACGAATAACACATCCAAATAAAACATGCAATAAAAATAACAGTAGTTGGTATACTTTTGATTTTATTCATCACATTAACCTAACTGAACTGCACTGCTATTTGTAAGTACATCATTACATTAGTAGTATCCCATTTCGTGCACAGAATGTACCAGACAGAAGTTTTAATTGTTCGTATACCGTGCATAATTTTTACTGACGGGTTGACGTATACGCAGAACACGCGGCTCAACTGAGGCCTCGTCACCTTATGACTCATCGTCAAGTATAAGTCGAAGAAGGTTCAGACTGTAAAAAAGCGTAGAGTAGTCAGACTAAACCATAGTATCAGTACATGAAGACCTTGACTGTTGATCTGAGTCGTGTAGTGAAATGTAGACTATTTGGTTAGTGTCTGTGTGACAACGAAAGCCACCGGTTAGAGACTACATGTGATGACATGACTCAGAATAGAAATGATATGGCGCAGATCCATCCACGTATTATTTTAGTCTTAACCATCACAATGGATTTCAGCATTCTCTCATTCTCACTTGTCCTCTTTTAATGACTTGACTGTTTTCTGCGTTATTTGTTCATTCTAGTGCATTCTCGCTTGATGTGCTGATTATGGGGTGTGACAATTCGACTCGTAACACAGTAATGCCAGAAGTTTTGAGCCTTGAGAAACTTATTATTCGCTTCAAGAAGAAAAACCCACAATATAGACAGACAGACAAAATCAACGCAGAACTTTGCACACACAAGTGCAGCAATTCAAGCTGCCACACACAACCATGCAAGGGATAGGTTTGTAAAGAAAGACCGATATTGAAGTAGACAAAGCTGTATGGAAGAAGAGGGAATTTAAAAATAAAGGTCAATCAGAACATTCGAGCATTAGAAGACGCCCTTGTGACGGATTTCCGGTCATGGCATCAAGAACTCTTGACCACTGTCTCCTTGGTGTTGGAGACCCCCAACCTTGCACTATACCTGTTTACATGGCTCATACCAACAGCCAGACACTTCATGAAGTGGTGCCACGTCTTAAACTGGGCATCGTGACCCCTCTTTTAACTCAATCTTACTTCTACTAGCACTGAACGTCGAGGTAGGGGTTGGCTTGGCATGCACAACACATGTGCAAGTCACCTTGGTCATTGAAGGTTCCACAACCTAATGAAATCCTTTGCCTTGTACCCTTCACCTGACCCCAACATTGCTCACGTGATGATAGCACCTAGCGTTAGCAATGTTACGAAGACACCTGTAACTGAAGACTTGTAACCGCTTCTTCTTTTGACAGCCGTGTCTCACAGCTGTATCACAGGACATAAATGAACTGCATAGTAGTATACTCGACGTTTAACAGGCAGTCGGATATCTCGTCAGTCAGCACCATAGAAGATGCAAGTTGGCAACTGTCGAAAAGGTTTTTTGTATCCAGGATAAAATCTCGTCAGCGACCAACTGATGAAACTCCCCAAGTAAGTGGTCAACGCATTTTACTACTTAAATTGGGAGTAAGATGCAGAACAGTCATGAAACAGCATGTTAAGTTTGATAGGCGTAAAACGCATGCTAAACATACTCACATAGTGTTCACAATGCGACGAGGACGGAGCCACTTTTCTAATAAAAAATAAACGATTGGGTAACAACAGGTTCTAAATCTATCTATATGTACGGTACTCGTATTGGTTATGATAGTTCTTCCCAGAAAATATTGTCACAATGGTATCTCCACTTAGTCAAGGCAAGCAAAAACCGCTGTCCTTTAGTCCTACAGAAAGTTTAAGTATAACACAAAACTTACGCCACGTCCTCCACGACGTTTTTGAGCCTTTTGCTGTTGAGCCGCCAAGATCACCTTCCATCTGTTCTTCTCCTCATCACCTTACACACGCACACACAGAAAGAAAGAGAAAAAACGTACAACGCTTTCACGTATTTCGAAATCCTCTATTCACAAATTGAAGGACATAACAAAGCACTATATGGCTAAGCAATGAGTGGAAAGATACATTCGCAACCAATCAATTATGAATGTCTTTTATGTATCTTTGGCCTCGTTCTTCGACACTGCTTATGAGGCACTTTAAAGCCTACTGTAGCAACGACTGGAACAACTAATCAGACTCATCTATTCCCACTAAAGGTAGTTTTTCTCATGAAAATCACGACTTCAATTGGTTATTTCAGTAGTTACTAGGGTGGCCTTTGGAGTCTCACCTGATTATACCGTTTACGCTTTAAAGCCTTGAAAACTCATATGTATCTCGTTAAGTATAAATAACTGTGCACTGTGTGGAATGGTCATCTAAATTCATCTTCTCTTTGAGTCAGCCTGTGTGAGGTCATTATCAGCAGGCTTAACTCGAAAATATTAACTCGGGGGATGATAACAGTTAGTACCTGTATTTGATTATTTTTTTCAGTCGGTCAATCATAGGAACTCAATAAGAAACCGAACCGGGGTCAAGATCAAAACATCGGAGAGAACCGTCGAGACAGAGATATAACAAAAGCCATTGGCTTACTATTGCCAACTCCAGTTTCTCGGTAAGTGGAAAGACGGTAAGATAACGGAAAGTGCATTACAAAACACCCGTTTATATATACATATTTACGATGGCTTTTCCAGAAGACCATATTCTCTATTGATTTCCGCCGCTTCAACCAATCTGATATACAAACGTAGGTTCACGTGCTTTCTGTCTCGAAAATTCAATGCAACACGACTGGCTATGAAAAGGCCTTATTATGCAGATCTAGGCAAGCTTATTGCGCATACCATAACAGTTGCTAGGGGAACTTCGACCTTTTGTCGGGTAAAATAAATGTACCTAAGAAGACGCCTTACGAACCCTGCTACACAAATGTGCACCTATAATGTGAGGGCTAACGATACTACATTGCGTGGCTGCCCAAACCTCGGTATGTACAGCTGGGTTCGCACTCTTGACCCATTCTTTGGGGACACAGCTCCTTGATAAACCACTAAGGTGAATCAAGCTAAATTCCATGAATGACGCGTAGAGAAATAATTTATCCAACACAGAAAACAACGAAGATGCGTAGACGAATATAACAGTGAACTTAATCCATTTTGTTCCCCACTCTCTCCTAAACTCTCTTAAACAATGATGAGTAGCAAGTTTATTCATTTCACAATATGATTCATTTTAAGACGACCACTTACCAGTCAGTACACGACCAGATAATTCACTATTATGATAGGTGACAGGATTATCACCGAATGCTTCTTTGAGTTTAGCCCACGCCTTCTCTGCTGTATTGGGTTGTTTAAAGCGCACGATGGCCCTTCCCTCGGCTGGTTCAACATCAATCCATCCAACAGAAATGGTAGAGTCCAGCTAGACATGAAAGAATTTGAAGAGATATATAATAGTGTATTGGACAAAATTGTTATACTGTCCAACAAAATTTCAGAAAACAGGAGGAATTATAGCCATTGAATTTGTATGGTTGGTAAGGGGTATGACAAAAGCAAGGTTTTTCCCAACGAGAACCAGCAATGTCACACTCAGGTTGCCTGTCCTATGGGAAAGCAGGGATTCGAAAAGGTGAGCCTCAAAAATAGCGCACTCCCCTTTACCTCACGGGTCTTCCAGTGTCGCTGGTGCGGGTTTATTCTGTCCGGGGATAGACCAGTCAAATCTCACACCAACAATCCTGAAAAGGTTGTGTGACAGGCATCAAGCAACTATCCTTTGGGCTCTACGGTCACAATAATCTCTTTCAGGTTCTTTAAGGAGAAATAGACTTCCACGGTATGGGCAACCGGGAAGTGAGAACTCCTGATAATAAATTTCCTTTCCGCCTACGCATTTTTGTCCACTTTGATACTAGTCTTTCCTGCCCACTCGTACTTTTTACACCACTGTGAATTGTGACAACCTGGACTGATGCATTTGTTTATGAGGTACTACGTTGATTTCGTCTGTCCACCTATTTGGGTAAAATTGAGTTTGTGAGTTGATTTCACATCCTATCGATGATTTAAAAATAAGACGAAACGCGCGTCTTCGGTTCCACGGTTAACCACCGCCAAGTAAACTAAAACGCAATGGGAACATCTTTGAGTAGCTAATTAGGCCAAATTTCAAAACTGGGTAAAATGTGAATAAAAGTTGCGCAAATCACTAACAAATACCCCTTTCCTTACAATATCATACTAACTCAGTAAAATGAGTTGTACTTCTACATTTGAATGAACAGTTTGGCGGTGCGAAACTTTTATCGAAATTACATGTAGGGAATTGTGATACAAAAGTACCACATAGATAAAGGCATGAAAATTCCGCTGCTATACGAGAAATTTACCTTCTCCGTTAACCATTGTTTTAAATTCATAACAGTAGGCAATTCTGAATCTTCATTTCCGTTTTTAGGTGGTTCTGAGGATTTTTGTGGTTCAGCGTCACCCCCATCTACAACTTCATCATTTCCTAGAAGTAGCGAAAAAATAATCAAGAAATAGAGTGATGAGCAGAATGGATCATTCAAATGAAATGCCATTCAAATACACGATTTGGTTCAATGTTCACGATATGCAAGTCAGTTAAGAACTCAAATAGTGCTTCAAATTGACTGCAGTTTAAAAAATAGTGCGGACTGACTTTATTGCTGAGAGAAGTGCCGTTCTTCAACTTTACTAACCATTTTGGAATTTGAGAGCAGTAGACAACTTTCTGCCTTGTGTGGATTTTTTTCAGTAGGTCTCGTGGGCATGCTTGAACCTGTGAATCACCTATCCAAGAGACAGGAACAACCAGGGGTGGAGACTTTAGATAATATTTAGGCAGGTAAGTGACTGGAGTCAAGTGTTATTTCCTTGTTTAACTGTTTACTCGATATCCATACTTAAGTCGAAGTAATAGGATGATACATGAGAGTGGCACAGACAATGAAAGACGATATACATGCCTTACTGGACACTTAGTTATTAGAAACGAACACTATATGCGCGAAATTTTCAGCCATATTATAACAAGTGGCAAATTTAATAATCGCATTTTAGGAGGTCCAAGTAAAGTCATTTTATAAATTAGTGGTTACTGATTGCTACGTTGTGGTTATGGACGACTTCGTCGCTTACGTTTGAGTTCCCACTAACCAAACTCGAATGTTAATAGGATACGTCGAAATACAGGGAATCCCATCATTATGATTCGAGACTTCTTGCCCGTTTACTCATATTTGTACCACCTGAATCATGAATTAAGTGCAGTGTCCTCAAGACTACTAGTTTGTAAACGTACGTTTATTTGAGAGAATCTGGTGGCCTTTAACATGGCAGCTGATGCAAACCAAGCTGCTAAACTGGAATTAGTAAATATCGCTGATAATGATCTGAAGGAAGTTGAATGCCGATAGTTGTGAGCGTGGTTGACACTTTCCCGCCACCCACACCATAAAAGGTTATTTATTCTCTAAGTACTTGAAAACAAATTGGGTTAGTAACAGTGGTGCGTGACCACAGAGCCAAGAGACATCATCTACTGCAGATGAGTTACATACAGATTTTTTGAGCCCATCTTTTAATCTATACTACCGGTATTGAAATACTACAGAGTAGGGGGGTTTGCCATTTTTAGGAGCAAATTTATCTGACCTCTGCTTCGCATAAGGAGGTAGCATCAACGTGATACTGCTGGTCATTGGCCGGAATCACCTTATAGCAGTCACTCGTCGAGCTATCGTTATGACTTTTCCCTAGGACCCTACATCACAGCATAGCAACTTACACTAACTGCTTTTCATGATACAACTCATCACCCAACTGACGCTTCCATTAGGTAATACGCGTTCCACCAGTTGAGTCCATTGGGTCATTGTGTTACGCACGCTCGACTATCAGTCGGGAATTGAGTATGCACGAGGAACATGAACCTACTCTAAAAAATTCAAGTTACAATACAACTATTTGTATGCATGAATTACTGAAAATGAAAAAAACGGGTAGACAGATGGACCAGCGTAGAACCTCCAAACAAATTCATTAGCTCAGGTCGACGTACTTCGCAGCAGTACACAAAGAACAGGTGGGTCGAAGTTATATCGAAGTAGATAAAGTAGTGTGAGAGAATAAATAATCTAAAGATGACGGTTGGTGCAAATATTCAAGCTCTAAAAGACGTCAAGGAGTAAATGCATCTGCGCCAGCGGCCGATTTTCAGCCATGTTACCAATAGTCTTTAAGCACTGATTCATGCATCGTCTTGAGGACCCAGACCAGGTAGTCCCTAATAACCCGTACGGCTCAGACCAACAGTAAGAGTCCATCGACTAGTGCCAGGTCTTGAATTGGTCACCCTGAGTCCTCTCCCAACCTAGTCCAACTTTCACTAGCATGGCACGCCAAGTTAGGTGGTGGTCCGGCATGCCCATTATAAGTCCAAGTCATCTCAATCAATCAAGGCTCACAACCTCATCAATCAACTTGCCTACTTTGCCTAGTAGTCTTCGCCTGAACTCAACATTGCTCACGCGGCGGTGATTCCACCAAACGCGAACAATGCTACGAAGACACCTATGATCTAAACCATCTCGTGCAGGAGTTTCAAACTTTTACACTTCACAGCGGATAGAATCGGGGACAAAAGGATGGCAAGCAGATATGAGGAAAGAGCATAAATTAATGAAGGTTAGGGGGAATATTCAAGACTGTACGAAGGACAAAGAGTGTATACATCTGCGCTACTAAGTCATATCAGTCTACACAGCCATTGATAAGAAAAGGCTCAAAAAACGATGCGTAGAGATACTATCTATTTTATTTCCATTACTCCTTAGTGGACTAGAGATTCAAATACCATCATCAAAATCAACATGGGACCAGGCATTACCACATAACGGTCCAAATTGCATAATCAAGTAACAAGACAATAAAATGGACGAAGAAAGAAAATCTGTTAAAAGTCGTAGAAAGTAGTAAAAGAGGGAAAGGAGGAATGAGAAAATGGTCAGATTAAGTATGGGGGTTAAGATCAAGATAATGTGTGTATACATCTGCGCCACTGACATCGGTCCTCAGCCATATCGCCTAATCTCCAATCACTGGTTTTTCTTGTCCCGTGGACCCCAACCGGCTAGTCACCATCGCGCTACATAGCTCAAACGAACAGTCAAGGACTTCATGCATTGATACTATGCCATACGTAACACATGTCTCAATCACCTCAGTCAATGAAGGTTTACAACTGCATCAACTGACTTACCTCTCGCCAAAAAATCTACACCTGACTACTGCGTTACTCACGTGGTGACACCAAGAAATACGGCTTATGCTACGAAGGCCGCGATGCTCAAACACCTTAAGCCTTCCAATGTCTGTTGTCTTTAATTCCCGTGTTTTACAGCTATACAGGAGAACAGAGAGGACTACTGCACAGTACCGTCGATCCTTAAATAGACTAGCGGATATCGCGGCGGCGCCACAGATGACATAAGTTGGCAAAAGTCAACCACGGCTTTTGTATCCGTGCCGAGTTTATCAGTCGCTAAGCTAACAGAGCTGATCCGACTTCCCAGGTAAGTTAAGCGTCATTTTCTTTTGTTAGCTAGGTGATTGCTGAAGAAAGCGTCTTTAGTACTCTCATTGTCAAGCTGTACTCGTAGTGGTTTTGTTGTTCAAGTTTTTTTGCGTCCATTGAGATGCAGAAATATACGCACTGGAATCAACGTATGTTGCCTATCTAAACATGTGCCCCAGAGGGAGCAGCAGTCTTCCACCGGTCTTCTTCAGCGAGAACTGTGCTGGTAATGGTCTAGACCATTGTGCTGGCTAGAAGTAAACGGTTATCTGAGCACAGCTGTATCAGGCAATCACCGTAATCTGCTCTTTTACTCGGGATTCCGAGGTTACCACCTAGGTTCCTTTCTACCTGACTCAGTCTACCCACTTGTGCATTGAAATCACCTGCAACAACCATATCTGAACGTTTGGCTTTCGAAAGGAGTCTAGACAGTTTTCGGTAGAACTCATGCTTCGCTTCATCCGAACTGCAGTTAGTGTGTGAATAGGCAGAGATTGCAAAGTGACAACGGCGAGTTTCACTATTCCCTTTAGTTCTCAGTGGGCCGTTCAACCGAACAGTGCATAGGTGACTGTCCACTGGGATCCGGTGTAGTAGTGGGCTTTCTGCCTGGTGCTTAGTGCAATGCTTACTTCTGCAGACCGCAGGAACTAGCCATCGAATCTCCAGAAACTCGAAGGGTGAATTTTGCGGATTCGCCATATTGGCCAGAAGAGGTTAAGTGAATAAGCGTACTTGGATCTTGTATGCGTATCTCACAAACACAGCACACATCCATGATCTGAGCTGCTAGTTTTGGTCAATGAAGCTTGTTGGGTTACTTGACGGAGGGTGAGGACAATGAAGGCCTCAAAAAGCGTTTTGGAGCGTGGTTGGAGAAGACCATGGTTGGTGATTTGTGGACTCAGATCGTTGTCGAAAGCTGGAGAGCTAGGAGAAACTAAAGATGATGCAGGATTGTTAACTGAGGCATGAAGGAAGACTAGAAGGTAAGAATGAGGAAGGGAGGTAGTGATCTGGGGGGGACTTGAGCGCTGACAGAGTTGTGAGGGCGCATGACACTTCCTGGCTGCCCACACTGTGGAAGGCTAGGTCTTCTTGAAGTACCTGGAAAAGAAGGATTAGTGCGTGACTGCAGAGCCCATGGGACATTTACTTGACGCCAGTCATGTAAGGCCTTTTTGATGTCACGACAATTGGCCTGTATGATGGGAGATGTAATCCGTCATATGTCCTGTGGTTTCGGATTACCACTAACCACTGATGACTGGTCTAAACAACCATAATGCATCATTTCTTTGTTTAAGAACATGTCAAAGGTAAGGGTAATTGCAATTTGTCTAACCACCACCCAACAGATCTTCCTGGTATGGTAGGACCTCAAGGGAACAGGCGTTCCACCAGGATAACTCGTTGGGTTGTCGGGATATAAACCCGACTACAACGTCAAGATAGGAGCTATCGGTCGGGGAAACACATTATTTACTTTAAAAACTTGCGTTTAAACAATGCATTTGGTTAACTTTTTTGAGCTTTGAACAATACTACTGGGTTGCAATTTTTTCAAGTTTTAATACTACAACACTCAACTCTTTAGATGAACTGTGAATATTTCAACTATTTCTCTACAGAATGCAAGTAAATTTTATTACTCACTAACCATTCAATTTTGCGAATAACACTGATCGGCGGAAAGTTGACAGGCAAATTTTCTATTAACAATTCGAAATATCACTGCACATACATTCCGTTAAATATCAAATGCTAGAACTGGCATACAAGAGGCATACAAAATGCCTTCAGCAATCTAGGAAGTTCCAACCCATTACCCATCATCATTAGTTGGAAGTAAAATGTCTAGATTCACAGGTCGAAGCTTTACAAGAAGCATTCGAAGGAACAGTATAGGATATTAAGACTAAGCGTATGAATACTTACTTTTTGTAGCTTCTGGAAGGCCATTAATTTCAAGTAATGCACCAACAATCATTCGAGAATTCAGTTGTGCCTCCTGGCTAGCTTCAACAGCAGCTTGTCTTTTAGCCTGAGAAACAAGCTTAGCGTCTTTTTCCTCTTGTTTGTGTTTCCAATAGTCTGCCCTAAATTCATTGAAGTAATAATCACTTTGAGTACCTTAACACATTGGCATTCAAAGTGTGACACAACTAAAGTGTGATAAATTAATAAACTCTAAAAACAGATATACATAAAACAAACGATTCAATTAGGCAGTGAAATACAACTCTATTTCAGTCTAATCGTTAAACATAAATGAGTTAGTGATATTAGCTTGGTAAGCATCTGAAGTTAATCAAAATGTACTCAACGATGTGCACATTCGTGCAGCAGGCAACGAGTCAAAACTATTGTGTGAAGGTTAGTGATATTACCTGGCTGCCTAAACCTGAGTAGGAGCGGTGTTAGAACCATCAGCGATTAGTTGAACGTCAACTCCCTAAACGAACGAAGTAGTACTATCATTGTCTTGCGTATAACAAGTACATAATAGTATGTCAGAGCTTCACCAGCGAACTTGGCAAAACCTCACCTGTCACAACTTTCGTCACTTGATAACTTTAGCAGCTTTAGTACTACGCTGAAATGCAGAAGGCGTAGTTTTAAGAGAAACATGCAAGCTAGTCAACGAAACTGTGAACCATGATCGATTCAGGTGATCCCGACGTAAATGACGTGTTTGATTACCGTCCAAACTGATGCGCGATGCTAGCTGAAATAGTATCAAGCTGAAAAAAGGTTGAATATGGCCAGACTGAGACGTGACATTGGTTCACGAAGTTTCTGGCCATTGCTTTGAGTCGTGCACGAGAATGTATACTTCCTGCTTCAGATCCACATAATAAACAAGAGACGATTGAGAACTCTATGGAATATAGCTGGAAATCAATTCCAATGGCACAGATGCATCTACATCTATCTTATTCCTACCGTTTTACCACTGATTCCTCTGTTTATGCTTCTCCACAACTTTCGATTCCATTACTCACCTTTCTTCATCTGTCGCGTATTTTCATCTTTTGGATTTTGATATGCTCCTGTGAAGTGCGGTAACGTTTACGGAATAATGCCAGATCTCATGCTACCACCAAATGAGTGCTTGAAATGTTGATTTTTGGGTCTTAATTATTACAGGATGGGACAAAGACACCTAGTTGGGCATTGCATTGTTAGACTACTGAGTTACACCTTTGCTCTCATCAGGCTGTCAATATTAAGACTCATTTAACTCAACATGGATCGATCGAAAACCTAGAATCTTGCTACACAGACTAGTTGGTCAAAGTGACAGCGTAGCACTTATTCGATGCACATCCTTACTAATTATCGGACAATAATCAGATGACTGCAATTCATAGAGGAAGGAATCAAAATGACAAGACCAGTCAACCAGCATCAACACTTCCCTACGTAGCCTGAACTAACAATCAAGGATTTCATCGACTCGTCCTATGCTATAGATTGGAAGTCTCTTGGTTGTTTTTAATCAAAACTTACTTTTGCTAACATTGTGGGACTGGGTGGAGTGTGATTAGGCATGCGTAACACATGTCTCAGCCATCTGAGCTGACAAAGATCCCCAAACTCCATACCCGACGGCTGTATAACTGATGCTGGGGCACTGCGATATGGCCTTTATTAAGGAACCTCATATCCTTACGTGTCACATTTCAGTCACGCAGAAAAACAAAGTGAGCAACGTAGCAAACATGACTCCTAATAGGTAATCGGATATCATGAATCACGCGATTTTGGTGAGATTCATTCGTCCCTAACCCACCAGGGCTGGTCCGGTTGACCAGGATAATGAAGTGGTCGACGCGCTTAACTGTTTTACTTTATTCTTAGATGAGAAGACTATGCAGACCAACCCAAGAGCTACAAACGACATTTACCTGGGGAGAAACGTATCCCGAGCGTTCTCATTTTGTTAGTCAAGGTGTCCAAAAGGCTGTCTTGTTGGCATTTTCAAATACCAGGACTATCACCTTTGACAAGGTCTATCCCTACAAACCTGGATAAGAGGGAGGTTCCATCAAGCACAAACACCGCAAAATTAAGTGATCACTTAAAATGTTGCTGGACATTTGTAACATTTACCCAGTAAGCTGAAGAAAAACGAGATACCTGCACTTATATGACGATATGCTACCAGCGCCTAGCAGTCAAGATACAGTACAACGCGGAAACAACTCATAAATAACAGTACACTATCGAATACTTGTAGTATTGAAAATTCGGAAAATTGAGTGAAAATACGTATTACTGTGCGTGACTTCCAACCAAGGTGAAGAAAGCATTGGAAGATCCCGGTGTTGCGTTCCTATCAACACTCTATAACTGCACCTCAGGATAGACTGGGACTTAACCTTCAAAACATTTCCAGCTTCTGAACGCCAACAGAAATGAGATCCTAAATTAACACAAAATCATACAACTTAACAACTGGTCTGAAAGGCATTAGAAGTGAGAGCTTCCTTGCTCGAATGAAGCGAAGAAGTATCAGGGATTTGTGCCGAATGCTCAGAGTACGAGTTAACATAGCATTGGTATAATAATATGCACCAGGATACTTTTCACTAGCCTCCATGTGAGTACCGCAAGGTCAAAAAACAGCACTTCACAGAGCCCATCAAGTCTTTCACGCAAAAAAAAGAGCTTAAAACCTGTAGTAACCGTTGCAGTGTATATCTCAGATCTTGTATTTCCTTAAACCTGCTTACCGAAGTAACTGCCACCTTTACTTACCACTACTAACAAGGGTACATATACGTCTAATCCCTCTTCTTAAATCATTAAACAAGATGACCACCAAGCCAAGTCATTGATCAAAATACCCATGGCATATAATTCGCATCTCTACGAAATCTAAACTTACTGGGTCAACCGGATCATTTTCTTCTCCTTAAACGTGGCTGCTTCCGGCGAAGACAGAAACCTATCAACGTCCTCTTTTTTTTCAAAAATCGCAAAGATGCTCCCCTATGATTAAATATTTAAGAATAATTAATCGTTTACTTTAAATTTTCTATCTCGGGGAAATCTGCGCATATGCACATCTAGGGTTTTCCCCCATGTTTCTCTAACCACTCGATGATTTGATCCAGATGCTCATCAGGGGCAAAGCCTTTAACGTAAACGCTGTTTTCTTTGAAGTTTTCCATGGTCGATTGGAATGTTTCTGGGACTTTCATATCAGGATTTCGGCGTAGGCCATTGGCTCCGACTTCAACCAACCCGGAATCCGACTTTGATAACGACTTTTTAATGAACTCAGCGTCTTCTGAAAGCGACTTTAGGCGATTAAATTTCATCATAGTCTCCATAGAAATCCCTAGAGATATGTAAGTCAATGAATGGGGTCTTACATCCATCATTTTGTTTAATAGCTTCTCGCATGAACTTATCACGTGACAGATTTACATCTCCGAAATAATACTATAGGACTAGTAAAACGGTTGCAATGAATTACCTCAACCTGTTTAATAATCTTCGACTCCAAAGGCGTGACTCCGACCATATTTGAAAACAGCAAACAAATGGTTCAAGTCAGTCCAAACACTTGACAAAACAAATGATGGTTTCAAAGGTTGAGGACAAAGCTGTATAAACTACTGCCTTAAAGCCATTTTGCCTAAAGGAAGTGATTCGCTGACGTCAAAATCTGGTGATCCAATATCGTTTTGCGATCTAATGTAAACCAATTGATTTCTCGCTTGCTTCTAGATCTTGCGGAACGGTTCTAGGTCTTTGGTAGGTTCCACTGCCCATTCGCCTGCTGTAACTCTGGTCAGCCTGATGGGTGATTAGGTGTTGATTAAATTTGTAGGGAATGGTTGGTGTTTTCAAGGACTGTTGTGTAGATGTCATGCCACTGGACAATTGGTCCGACTGACTGCAAAAAGGAGATCGAAAAGATGTTCAGAGAAATCGACAGAGAGGATATGCAAAGAAAAGACACCAAAAAAGATGAGGTGAGAGGAAGCGGAAGGCAAGAGAGGAAACCTAGTTAGATTCATAGGAGGTAAGTGGCAAGGAGAACCTTTTATAGATATTGTGAAAACATGGTCAGAGTGAAGAGGTGGAGCAAGTAAGATTATAGAGTGCGCTATGGGAATTGAGGTAATAATGCTGCTGGTAGGAGATGGTAACTGGAGATGTCTGCAAGGAAGTATATGGTTGAGTAAGGTTCGCGATTATCGAGGCGGTAAGAAGGATTCGGCAGTCGGTTGGCTGTGCTGAGTTGAGCAGAGCTAGTTGGTTGTATCAACCTTGTCCGTGTCCCAGCTGGATGAGTACAAACCATGGGTCCCTGAGTAACCTTCCAACCTCCAATTGGAGCTGTCAACGAATAGATCAGTAGAGGTGCTACGTAAGACATCGCAAATTAGCATTAGCAGCATCTGCGACAATGGTCTTCACATATCTGCTTCATGTAAGTATGCATGCTTCAAACTCTTCAAACTTCGTAGGGATAGCGAACAACAGTTCCCCTAGCTCTACTTTCCTTGTTTGGGATGGTCAGCTGTTTTCCAGCTTCAAACAAACCTTAAAAGATGGAAATAACTCATCAACTCGCAAAAAAGTGGTGCTGCTACCCACGGTCTAAAGACGATTGGTGGCTTCTTGAGTACAGTTCATTTTTACTGGAGGGCTCTACACGTGCATCAAACCTCCTTTTGAGAGCCCAAGGACAGAGGGCTGCGAAAACTTAAGGAACGGAGTTCTCCAGTTTACATATTGCGACTTTAGTCAGTTAATATCAATCATCGAAAGTATTCTCCCATGCTCTGATCTGAAAGGATTAACTCTGGCTAAGGCCTAGGGACACTGTCTTAGGAAGAAGAGGTTTCCAGTTTGTATGTATGGCCATATCCCCTCTGACCCTCCGGTATTGTTATAGTTGCACCTTATGGGCGAATGAACGATGCGAATAATTTTTGTACTGCAGCCCAGTCACACCCCAAGACGGGAATATCCTCCCGCAGCACTGAAGAAAAACCATCAAAAAACTCTCTTAGTGGGGATGCATGTATAATTTGTACACCGTAGTGAAAGGGGCCATATTCGGACTGCCTGGAGTTTGAGGGAACCTCGCCTGGTTAACTAGTTCACTGGTTACTAGCCGGCCCTTAGCCCGGATTAAGAGGGAAGGTTGGCTATTCGGCTAGAAACCCTACCCCGAAAAACAAATCCGATCGCTACAGAAACTTCAAAGCACAAAGTGAATGTAAAAAATAAAATTAAACTTCTTTCTCACTAGAGTCAGGGAGACAAAAGGACGCCGGCTGGTGAAAGCCTTCGGGAAGCCAATTGTTGGCCGATGTGTCTTCGCTCCTCTCGATGAAAGTGAGAGTTGGCATGGGGACAAGGAGTGTCTGCCTAATGTTTGAAGCTGGCTGCCAAGGCTGCCCAGATTACGAACGAGATGAGAAGATATGGCATAGAAGTGGTAGGAATCTGTGAGGAATCTGGAAATGGAATAGAAGTCGACCCTCCAAACTGCCAGTTGGAGAGTCAATAATCTACTCCGATATTATCGCCCACTCGACAACCACGAACACGCTGACGGAGTGTCTACTGTGATTCCCTCAGGAATATCAAAAGCTCTCAGGCAATGGGAACCGGTCTCCAAGTTCGTAGAATTCTGCGCATCCAACAACTTGGTGATTGGAGGCGGTATGTGCAAATATGAGGATACCGACAAGGCAGTGACATGGATTTAATGATAATAGTACTGATTACATATATTTCATACAACGTAGGTTACATGAATACAAACCAGTTTACAGGTTTGGTCACTTTGACTGTTATGTACAATGTTAAGCAATACATTAGATACTGTTATTCATGGCATACAAGAGGTGTGTTGAGGCAGGCTCAGTTCGAAATTAGGAATTATTCAGTCGTTGTTTGAATCTTCCAATATTTTGAAGGTGGGGCAGGCATCACCGTCATAACCTTGGGGTGTGGGCGTTCGTCATAGGGTTTTGGTGGCATGGTGCACACTGACAAATGCGATTTCTAGGATCCCATTTGAATGTAGGACTGGTTAGGTAAACCTGAAAAGTGAATAAGAAAAGCGAGCAGCAGACAAAATTCGAAACAGGAGCACAAAAATACGCAGGAGTAGATCAACCATAATACACCTGGGTGAGTTCTTTGTACTGAATACAAAACTTACTTGAAGAAGTGTCAAAAACCAACTGTTTGGAGGTAAGCTTAGGTGGAAGAACATGAAGGTGCGCACGACAGTAATGAAAATTAGTCTGAAGCCGAAGATATCACTACGAAATAGAAAGATTAGAGGATTTTGGACCAGACATTCACTTGTTATACACCTATGTACAAACATTTGATGAAGTTATAAACATTTAAATAAAATTCATAGTTTTTTCTAAGATGGTAACCACCTCTTATCTAGTCATTGGGGAGGGATAATCATGGTGTTGCTTGTTGGGTATAACCATATCGGGGCTACCGAAACAATATGGTGGTGCAGAGTACTTACATGTAAGTACTGATAACAAAAGGCAAATAATGAAACATGTTACATGCTATGACAATCCACCGACAGACAGTTCTTTATCAATCAGGAGTGAAGAGATTATTTTAAGGGGCGAATTTTAAGAGATAGGTGTTAAGTAGTGAGATCAGTTAGGTTATGAAGAAATGTGGGTTACACCAGAGTAGCTAGTGAGTTCACTGTTGCAAATCGTATCGCACTCCACTTCCTGTTCACTCTTGGTCAGTTTTCTTTCTTAGAGATTAGATTTTAACTTAACTAATGCGCTTAGTTTTCAGCACTGTATACTTTTGTCATTGCCGTTAGTCTCCGTTGAGTCTAGGCACCAGTAGCACCACTTTACATGGTATTGCCGTTTGTGGTTTGGCCGTCAACAAATTGATGAGAATCGTTAGATAGGAGGAATTCACTAAGTAATCGTTGAAACTGGCCCAGAGATTGACATTCTCATATAGGGGTGGGAAGTTTGTTCCACAGTATGCTGTATTGAGTTATGAAAAACCTACATGGAAGTTTTGAGCGATACTTATTTACTGGGATGGTGTACTCGCTATTATGCAGATTGTGTGCCTGTGTAGATTTAAAAGTGAAAGCACATTTCGTTCTGGAGTTTCCAAATAAAAGACGAAAAAGAAAGGTTAGGTTGAGCTTCAGACGTCTCAGCCAGAGTGATTCTAGTTCTGTTTTTTTGCACCTTGCTTCGTATACAAGTCCTTCGTTTTGTATAAGTAGGCGCCGAATAAAGTTTCGTTGAATGTTCTCTACTTGAATTCTGTCCGATACTTTCATGTTACCATAGGTAACCGTGCAATACTCTAATATTGGGCAAACCATAACCTTGTTCAGCATTAGTTTTGCATCAGGTGTATGTTTCTGTGCAAAAGACCAGTGAGTCTTCTGCCTTTGGAAACTATTTAATCCGCATACTCCGTAAAAGTCAAACTTCTGGAGTAAGTGATTCCGAGGTCTTTCACATTGTTGAATGTCCGCGATTTCACCAGACACCAGGACACACTAAAAATTAGGCTGACTTTATTCCAGTGTGAGGAAAGTGGAGATGCAGCCTACTGGACACAAGATAGGATCAAGAAGCGGAGTAGATGTGGTGCGGGAAATCTACCCTTGAAATCAAGTCGAAAGCCTTAAAAGAAGCTGGTGATGACAGACCACAGTTCAAGTTGAACACGCAGAGCAGAAACTGGAAGACAAAACCACAAGGGGCATCTTCACGTCGGTCGGACATCAGGAAGCAATTCGAGACACTGAGCAACATCCCCATCCCCAAAGGGGGCTCCGTGGAAGAATACTGGAACTCTGTGAACGCGGAACGGAAGGAAACCTCCACAACCTTGTTAGGAAGAAAGAAGAAAAGGCAATACAAGTAATGGATCTCCACGGACACCTGGAAGCTGGTAGAGGAGGGAGGGGAAGATGGAGAAGTAAAAGATGAACCAGTGCAGTGCAGTGCAGGGATGAACAACGAAAGAAGAAACTGAATGCGACCTATAAAACACTGCACTGGACAAAGGAGTGAAGAAGGGTGCACACAAAGACAAAAGATACCTCTAAAACACGCTGGTAAGTGAAGCAGAACAGGTTGTAGGTAGTGGAGACCTGAAGACATTACAACAAATAACCAGGTTGCTTACTGTCTGGGAAGAGATCAACACAGATGAAACCAGTGAGATAGTGAAGGAAACCTAGTTACCAAATAGCAGAATCGGAGGAAACGATGGACTAACCACTTCAAAAAGCTCTTGAATCGACCAACACCACCACCACCTGCAACTCGACCAGAAATACCACCAACAGCTCAGACACAGAATCACCAGTGAACACAAGCCGTCCAACAAAGGTAGAAGTGAAGTCCTGAACGCCATAAATTTGCTGAAATCCGAGAAAGCGAAAGGACGAGATGCAATTCCTTCAGAAACACTGAAAACAAACGCAGAGACTACAGCGAATTTGCTCACACCACTATTGTAGAAGGTTTT